CGGAGAATTGTACAATTAACATGGGTGCACTTTATCGATTATAAATTTTACTTCATAAAATTGAGTTTTCCAACAGAACTAAGAAGCATAATAAATGCATTGTGGAACATTGTTTAGATCCCAAGTCTAACAAGCCAACTGCAAAAAAATTTATGACAATTGTGAAAACTTGAATGCTGATTGGATATTTGCTGGTACTGGTATTGTTAACATTAACATTTTTCGATTGGTGATAATTATATTGTGGTTAGATTCCAGGAGAGAAAAAGACGTCCTTCTCTTTCAGAGAAGTACTTACGCAGGAATTGATAGACCATGTGAGATTTGCTTTAAAGAATTAAAGCACTGGGCAGTAGAATGGGTGTGGATGAAACAAGTTTGGCCAAATATTGATGACTATCAACAGAGGCTGGAGGACGGGTACACTGGCATTCATTACATTATGTCGTTGCAATTAAAATGTCATTACTGTACTAACTTTGTTATCATCTCCACATTTGTGTATAGTACTGTACCTATCTGTACTGTGTTGACCTTGCTTGGATCCTAAGCGAGCAAACTCACAGTAAAATGATATTTAAGGGACAATTGGGGAAATTTGCATACTGGCTAGCAAAAGCTGACACTGAGGAATTTCGGGGAGAAAGCGTTTTGATGTTATCGTTCTGTGGTTGAAAGAACCACAGATAAAGATTAAGACAGAGGAGGAGGAGGAGAAACTGCAGCCATAGCAATGATCACACCTGGCACACAGATCTTGGTTTCTTCATTTTCCACTCAGAGGTACCAAGTGTCCTTGTAGAAATGGCTTATCCTTAAGCCACAACATTTTGTTGTGCCAGAAAGTAAGAAAGCGCTCAAAGATGACAAGGACATAAAAACACAGGAGCCAGCTTGAAGGGGCTCCCACTGACTCAATCTTGGACAATTTGAACACTAAAAGAAATAATGATAGCAAAGTATCACAGCCCATGGGATAAAAGAAGAATTTGTGAAACCATGGAAACTGGAACAAACAAAATGTTTTCCTTATAGTAGAAAGCCAACCAAGAAATGTATAAGGAATGATGACAGTAGAAAAATACCATTTGGCAACTATCATTACAACACCCGAATCACGCAAAAATCAACAGGTGCCCTAATGAATGAATTGGTGACAGTTCTAGGAGTGACATAAAATGTACACTGTCTTAATGCACCTCTCCACAGGATGTTAATTATAAAAGGGAAAATAGTAATTTTGTGGTGGAGACACCTGACAGACACCACCTTAACCAAATGATCAATGTTAACATCACCAGTAACTGGACAAATTGCCATGATGTGTTTCCTGATATGACACACTGAGACCTCAGTATCACATCTGTGCAGCAGCTGGAAGAACGGAATAGTGAACTGCAGAAGAAGGTCGACCAGAGAGAAGCCCTGAAGAAAATGAAGGATGTCTATGAGAAGACACCCCAGATGGGAGACCCTGCCAGCTTGGAGCCCCAGATCACAGAAACCCTGAACAACATTGAACAGCTGAAACTGGAAGTGCAGAAGTATGAGGCTTGGCTGGCAGAAACCGAGAGCCGGGTCCTGAGCACCTGGGGGAACAGCCTGGGCCGCCACACCCGGCCTCCAGACTCCCCAGCCAGCGCCCCACTAGACAGCAGCAGCAGCAACAACAGTGGGTCACAGGATAACACGGAGAGCTCTGAAGAGAGCTCTACACGGAATTTGATGAGGATTTTGAGGAGGAACCGGCATCCCCCATAGGTCACTGTGTGGCCATCTACCACTTTGAAGGATCCAGCGAGGGCACCATCTCCATGGCTGAGGGTGAAGATCTCAGACTCATGGAAGAGGACAAAGGTGACGGCTGGACCTGGGTCAGGCGGAAACAGGGAGGTGAGGGCTAGGTGCCCACCTCCTATCTCTGTGTCATGCTCAACTGAACCCTGCCACAGGTGGGAAGAAGAGGGTTGTTGGCTGCTGCTTCTGGGCCACAGGGGGCCCTAGGACCTACGCACCTTATTTCTGCCCCCCTGGCTTCAGCTGAGACCTGTGTAACCTGTTGCCCCCCCCATCCCACTCCTCATCCCAAACAGATCCGCTGTGCCTTCCACCATTGATGTACATACTCGTGTTTCAAATCTTTTCTTCCTGCCGCTGGGCTAGGGCTATTTTGTTTTATATAAAAAATTATATTAAAAAATAAGATGTTTAGGCTGAATCTAACCATGAGGACACATAAGACAATTCAAATTGAAGGACAAAATAACTGGGAGAAATCTTCAAGACATCAATGTCATGAAAGACCAAGAGGAATGGTTCCAGTTTAAAAGAGATCAAGCAGATACTGCAAGCATAATCTGGGATTTTCTTTTCCTCTTTTGTTTGGGCATTTGGTGAAATCTAAGCTATGTCAATTAGATAATGGTTTTGTATCAATATTAATATCTAGATCTTGATAACTGTATAGTGGTTATGTAAGTGAATGTCTTTATTTTTATGAAAGCTTTGAAATATTTAGGGATAAAGAGGGCATCATGCCTGCAATTTACACCCCATCAGCATGGGAAAAATAGAAGAGAAAAGGATAAAAGCCAATGTGATGAAATGTTATCATTTGGGGAAACTGGAAGAAAGACAGATGGGAATTATTTGCAATTTTCTGTAAGTCTGGAATTATGTCAAAATAAAAAGTTGGAAAAAAGTTAAAAAAAAATAAAAGCCCCAATCCTTGAAAGTAAAATCAAGCAATCCAAAACAAAACAAAAAAGAAATTTTTAGGGGCACCTGGGTTGAGTGTCTGCCTTTGGCTCAGGGCATGATCCCAGGGTCCTGGGATCGAGTCCCGAATTGGGCTTCCTGCAGGGAGCCTGCTTCTCCCTCTGTCTATGTCTGTCTCTCTCTCTGTGTCTCTCATGAATAAATAAATAAAATCTTAAAAAAAAGAAATTATTAGTGGGAATGTAAAATGGTATAGCCACTGTGGAAACCCAGTATGGTAGTTCCTCAAAAAAATTAAAATAGGAGTACCTTGCTGGCTCAGTCGGCAAAGCATGTGAATCTTGATCTACTCTTATGTATGCTTGAAATTTTCCCTTAAAAAAGTTTTAAAAATTTCTTCACTGTAGACTTCATAAATTGGAATTTAGATTCTGTGAGATTGCCCCATATGTTTTACCCAACTTTATTGATGTATTTTGACCATTACTGAGTTTCACAGTTAAGTGGAGAATTAGAAAACTAGAATTGTCTTTAGAGGTCTACAGAGACTTGTATGAGATGTCAAGATACTGGGAATCTCCAGCACATAGAAATGCTACATGGCCCAAAACAGAACTTTAATGATGATGTTTAATATTAATGTAGTAGAAAAATGAGGATGATGTATAAGAGCAAGGACAGTTGCAAAATAATCTGGACCAGTAGCTTATATAATTTGAGCATGGAGCTCAATGCAGCTGATGGGTAAATTAGTTGGGCTCAAGAAGGAAGGAGAAAGTGGGAAGAGGGTCTGCAGTGGATTTGCACATGTGGATATGCTGTGTCGTGTTGTCTCAGTTACAGACTGAAGTCTCCAGGAATCAGAGAAGAACAGCCTATTGAGGTCACAATGGGCACAGTGTTCACAGTCCTTCTGTCTTCACAAAACCTGGAGTTGACATCTATGGCTGATTTGTTAAACTAGCAAACCTTCTAGGTTTTTCCAGAACCTGAGCCTGCGGTTGGGGGAACAAGAGGTTTGTGACCATCGTGGAGGAATGTGCTTGGACCAGGTTGAACAGGCACGGCATTAAGTATTTTTCTTTTTCACACTCCTAATAAGCAACTATATTCTCATAAAATTGAGGCCTACATTGAAGTATTGCTGAGTAAAAGCGAAATTCCCCTTTACCCCAACTCTGCTTCTACTCCCCACCCCATAAGGGAATCGCTACTCACAGTTTAGGGTGCATCTTTTCCTTCTCTCTTCCAGTTCATAGTTGACCTTCACGTCTCGAAATCAGAAAGAGAAAAGTCCCAATGTCCAAATCTGATGGTGGTTCTCTGGGTCTCTCTTTTAATTGGGTTTAAATGTTTAATATTTAAATTTCAGAGCACCTCACATAGGATGATGGGACAGGCCATTTGCAGTGTATTGGTCTCACAGACTGTCATCTCTCTGTGGCCGAGGCTGGCTTTTACTACCACGTTTTGTTGCCCTGGTGCTTGGTGAAGAGCTGGCACGGAGGAGGCACAGACTGTTTAATGCGGGTGGCTGGGTGGACGGGTGGCGGGCTGCCTGGATAAATGAGGTCTGCAATCCCCCAGCAGTTTCATACTGAAGGGATATTTAAGGGACTCAGTCTCTGAGGTAGAGGCCCAGTCAGGTCATCCAGACTCTGGCGGTGTGAGCTGAAGCCACTCTAAATGAAGAGAAATGCGTAAGAAATACACTTTAGCAAGGAGGCCTTTTGGGGAAAGCCCTGGACTTGCAGGAAGGAGGCAAGAGGCAGTGGGACATAGTGTCACCTCTCCAAGTCTCCTTTTCCTCTTATAGAGGGGAGGCTCATAAGAATGGGATTCACATTTGCCTGCTTAGGCAAAGGAACTTGTAGAATGACTCAGGAGCAAGGCCTGCGTAGCGACCCACCCGGTGCCCCCCCACACCAGGCCAGGCCAGGCCAGGGTTGCCTGTCCGCGCTGGAAGAACTAGGTCTTTCTCAGGCCGGTTGATACTGAAGGGATGTTTAAGGGGCCCCGCCGGCTCCTACAAACTCTGCGGTCTCAGCCGCTCACGCCCCGGCCCCTTGGCCCCCGCCCGCTGGCCTCGAGCCCCGCGGGGCGCGGCGCCGCGCGCTGCTGCCCCGGCCCAGGGCCGCCCCGCCCCGCCCCGCCCCGCCCCGGGCCGCGCCGCCCCCAGCCCCCGAGCTCCCGCGCCGCGCCGCCCCGCTGCCGCCCCCCCGTGGCCGCCGCGAGCCGCCCTCCCGCCGCGCCGCGGGCCCGCTCCCTCGCCCGCTGACGTCACCGCATTCCCGTCCCGGCTCCTCCCGCCTGCAGCTGCAGTGACGGGCGAGCCGGGCCCGGTGGCGGAGAGGACGTGCGGGCCGCCGCGCCGAGCCCGTCCCAGCCGAGGCCGGCTCCCCGGGCGGCTCGGGTGACAGCGTCGCGGCCGCCGGGCGCAGCGCGGGACACGCGCCGGGCACAGCCGAGCGCCGGGCGGACGCTTCAGCCCAGACGCGGCGAAGATGGCTGATGACTTCGGCTTCTTCTCGTCGTCGGAGAGCGGGGCCCCCGAGGCGGCCGAGGAGGACCCGGCGGCCGCCTTCCTGGCCCAGCAGGAGAGCGAGATCGCGGGCATAGAGAACGACGAGGGCTTCGGGGCACCCGCCGGCAGCCATGCGGCCCTCGCGCAGCCGGGACCCGCGAGCGGGGGTGAGTCAGTGCCGGGGCCCGAGATCCGGGGGCCTGGGGCTCGCACCCTTGTGCCTGGCTGCGCAGACCGGGCCCGGGGCCCTGCGGGGGCGTGAAAGGGGCCCGCCGCGGCGGTCGGGAGCAGGCCCCGGGCTGTGTGCGTTTGAGAGGGACCTGGTGGAATGGGGAGGAATCTTTGTGGAGAGCTTCATCGGAGGCCCTGCGTGCTTGGGACCGTGGACCCCGTGGCTCCGCGGACAGGAATTTGTCATGACATTCCATCCCAGGGCCAGCTCCACCACTGCCCGGCTCTGCAGTCCAGCACAGCCCAGCCCTCAGAGTCCCCACCTGAGCCTCCCCTTTGCCTGGTTGTCCCAGGCTCCCAGCTCAGCCCTGCGGGGATGGGCAGAACCACAGACCTCCGAGCCTCTCGTCTTAGCTCTTTTCTACCGCCGGCAAAACAGGGGAATGCTGGGTGCTTCAAGAACACGCAAACCCTTCCTGGGGGACCCCCTGCATCCTGCAGGCACTGGGCTAGGCACTTCACATGCATTATTAAACATATTTCAGAGATGGCAAAACTGAGGCTCCAAAGGTACACTACTGAAACAACTAGTAAGTGGCGGTGAAGATTTAAACCTGTTTCTGTCAGACTTGAAAGGGTCTCCTCCTGACCACACTGCCTTCCATACACCTGGCTCTGAGTTAGATACCAAGGTGGGGGCAAGAGCACAAAAGGCTGCAGTCAGATGTGGTCCTGTCCTCCTGAGGTTTCTATTAACCATCTTCTAAAGGGAGTCCAGGGCTACTGAGTTTAGTTTTAGATCTGGGTTCAGGACCTTGTCCCTGTGATAGCATTTTCATCAATGATATTCCTGTCCTGGTTCTGGCTGGGAAGAACAGTTTCTTAAAATATGTAATTAAAAAGTAGATAGCTTCATGGGTGCATCTAAAACAGCCAGTGCTACTCATTAACATTGTCATTTTGGTGGGGGTTTATGGGCCTATTGGAATAAGCACTAGCTTACTTTTTTTTTTTTTTAAGCATTTACAAGTTAGGTTCCCTATAGTCATATTTGTATTTTTTTTTGTCATATTTGTATTTATCTAACCTTTCCTGAGTGCCTACTCTGTGCCAGGACCACTGGAGATACACAAATGAATAAGATAGTTTCTGTGGCTTGAGGAGCTTGAAACATCTCCAAATCTTTTGATATAATAAATGTAACAAGCCCTTTGTAACATCTAAGAAACTGGAGGCCCAGGGAGCCTGAGTGTCTTGCTCCAAGTCATACAGCCATGAGTGACAGACAGATCTGGGACTTGATCCTAACCCTCTCAACTCTGGGCCTCACACTCTTTCAAATGCTGTAGCAGTCACCCTAGGAGGTGATGGGTCGGAGGGGTAGCTTTTGCCACCCAACCCAGCTGATAGTGGAGGGCTTCTGAAGCAGCAGCTCCTGGCACCTTGGCATGGATCCTCACATCCCAGGGAGTTCCTAGGAAATGCCTGTGTGTTTCATTATTCATTAGTCCACACTGCCTCTGTGAAACCACCAGCTTTCTCAGTCTGGTGTGCCCTGGAGGAGGTCCTGCTGAGAGGAGCTGATATCAGAACCCCTTGAGAGAGAAAGGCAGGTAGAACTTAGCCTGAGGGCAGCCAGAGGCACCTGGGAGTTGAGCAGGTTGTGGTGTCTCCCAGGACAGTGGGGCTCTAGGGGCTCACAGCCTGGATAGGAGGTTCCCTCTGTGGCTGGGGTAGGGCACAGATTGACCCCAGACCCAAGAGGACAGGGAAAGAAGCAGAGACATGGCCCTCTGAGGGTCTTCCAGACTCCTACCTCTGAAGCTGCAAAAGTTCAGCTGCCCTCCTAAGTGGGGCCTGAGGATCAGGGAGGTATTATGGGATTGTGGCTCAGTAAGTGGCCAGACAGGATGGAATTGATCTGACCTTTCTAGGCCTAGATGGTGCTGAGCAAGTAATCTTCCCCGACCGATAATGAGTGCCAGAAGCTTGGATGGGGAGGAGGAAAACTGCCTTGGCCTGCTGGGAGCTGAGAGAAGCTGGCTTCTGGAGCTGCCACCAATCAACACCTCTGAGTCTGTTCTACGTGATGCCCCTGTGCCGAGTGCCCGGCTGTTGGGTTCTTTGCTAGCCCTGGGGAAAAAGGTGTCTGATATAAGCCTGAGCCTGAGCCATGTTGAGTCTCTCCTCTGGGGCTGGATCTGGGGCCAGCCTGAGCAACGGACACTTTGTTTCCATTCGTCAGCCTTGGGTAGGGCCCAGCAGGTTTACATTTTTACACCCAGATTTCTGAGCCCGGTCCTGGCTCTGCCCCTGACTTGCCTAGTCAGTTCCTGGCAAGCCAGTTTCCCCTGCTCGGCCTCAGTAAGCTCCCAGGAATGTTCTGGACCCTCTCTGTCCTTATTCCAAAAGGGGTCAGGAATCTGAGAGAAGCAATGCCCACGGGGTTTGTCCGTGGGACTCATATCTGCTGGGCTTCTGTTCTGGAGGCCTCTGAATGCAAACATATGATTGTAAATGTGCAATAACCAGAAAGCACTGTGGGAACAGATACTCAATTCTGTGTGTGGGTGTGTGTGGATTCTCAAAGAGGCTGAAATTTCATCTCCAGAAGAATGTTCACAGGACTGAGAAACTGAGGCAGAGAGACTTTCTGAAGGCCAGGGTGGGCACCAGGATTGTGGACCAGCGGCCCAAGACTGGTCTGGTCTGAGTGGTGTGGAGCGGGGCTGCTTCTACTCCAGAAAGGTCAAGCATACAGCCTGGCATCATTGTGAATGAACACTGATAACGTTGGGTCCTGGTAGAGGAGCCCCTTTGCAGAAGATGCTGCCACTAAAACCCCATCAGCCCCAGCCCAACTTAGAGACCAAGCCACCTATGCAGGAGTAACCCTAAATTGAAAGAGCAGGGATGACAACATAGTTGGTCAGAATCAATCCCTGTTTGAAAATTTATATGAATCAGGGATTATTTCCATGAAATTAAGTATCCCTCCTTTCCATTCCCAGGCTGAAATAACAGTGGCTCCTGCTTAAAGCCGTATCTGGCTAGTAAAGGTGTAGTTGTCCATCTATGGGAAGCTCATGTGGTTTCCTGTGGCTCTTTGCTGGGAGGCATCACAGTTTCTGAGAGGCCTTAGGCAGGCCTTGCAGGTAACAGTGGACTCCAAAGAACAGTTCGTTTTTCGTTTAGCTAACACTGACGGCTCACCTATTATGTGCAGGAACCCTTAGGAACTGAATAGGATACAGAGCCTGGCTTGACAGGGAATGCATGACCCTTGGGAGGTCACAAATAATTGCATAAGAGGGTGGGAAATGCTGTACAATCTTGTGGGATATCCCAGAGGTGAGACCTTTCTTCAGTGCCTAGAGAAGTAGGGGAAGTAATGGAGGGCTTCCTAGAGGATGTGACCTGTGAACTGGGTCTTGGAGAATGACTGACTCCCAAAGAGCATTCTTCAGAGAGAGAAGGAGGAAGAAAGGCATGGCATGCAGCCCAGTGTGTTTAGGGAAGGAGGAAACCAGAATAGGGTTGTTTGTTTGTTTATTTTTAAATAGTTTTTTATTAGAGCACATGTGCAAAGTAGGAAGTGGCAGAGGGAGAGGGAAAAAGAGTTTCAAGCAGACTCCTAAGCACAGAGCCCGACACTGGGCTTGACACCCTTGATCTCATGACCCTGAGATCATGACCCCAGCCAAAACCAAGAGTCAGATGACCAACCAACTGTACCACCCAGGCGTCCCCAGAAAAGAGTTTGTGAGTGGGACTGGTGGGAAGTGAGGCAGGAAAGTAGGCAAGGCCCAAGCGTAGAGGTTCTCACGTGCTATGGTCTGAGGTTTGACGTCCTCATTCAACAAATATTTATTGAGTCCTATTATGTGTCAGGCACTGTTTTAGATGCTGGGCATCAGACAAAACAAAGTCCCTGCCCTCACAAGGGGCCATTCAAGTGGGGAAGATAGATGATAAGCACATATACAAATAAGCGTACCAGACTGTGCAGGGGCAAGAGGGGTAAATGTCCCAGCTGGTCGGGGAAGGCCCCTACTAAGACAACGTTTGAACAGAGGCTGAAGGGAGTGAGGGAACAGTGGATATGGGTAGGAAGGCCTTCCAGGCAGAGGGAAAGTACCTGCTGAGTTCCCAGGGCAGAAGCAGACTCCGTAGTCCACTGTGGTCCATGTTAGGTGGGTTTCTTTTTTGGTTTATTATATTTTTAAGCCAAGAAGTGATGTAGGTAAGTGTATGCTTTACAAAATGTCAGCCCTGGTGGTTGGTTTGAAAGAGGGTTGGGAGAGGGTTAAGCTGGAGTCAGGGAGGCCTATGAGTAGACAAAAGCCGTGTGCTCTTTTTTCTGATGCATTCATTCATGTTTAAACATAAGCTTCTGATTGGTTGCTAAGTCTTGTGTACCATGCACACCTCTGGGGAAGACAGTGGCGAGGAGGAAGGACCCAGGTATGGCCCTCTAGGTGTTTGCCACTAGCAGAGCAGACAGACTGAATGGGGGACAGAGAGCAGAGGGCAACATTGAGAGTCAGTGTTGCAGCAAAAGCCACAGGAATCTGTGACTAATCAGCTGTCAGGGAAAGGGACCGGGAGGAGTCACTGTTGAGGGCAAAAGAAAATCCTTCTGGGAGGAACAAAGGGAGGAAACATAGGGGCTGCAGTTCCTGCTCTCCAGGTGGAGCAGTTGCTCAAGGCACCGTGGGGACAGGCAGTGACGCGCTAAGCCCCTCTTCTTAGCTCCAGCAGACACCGCCCTGAGCCCTGAGCCCGCAGCGCCTCTGCCTGCCCACCAAGCACAGGCCTCACAATCAGCCCAGTCCTAGCCATGGCCAAGCGTAAATTACTTTCAGGTAGGTGAGGGCTGTTGCTGGCTGGGCAGCCGTTGCCAATCACAAAGCCTCTCCGAGCCTCAGTTCGAGCTGTAAAATGGGATGATAACTTCATCACAAAGTTGGTGAGAATCAAGTGTGACAATGGCCATGAGAAGGCATTGTGAACAGTTACAGATTGAGCCCAACTTATTTATGTATCCAGAATGTCTGCACGGGGAGGGGGTGCGAATATAGGCATGGACATAGAGGTCACTTGGGACGCTCATGTGGGACCATGCATTCTGTGCTTGCTTTAAGCTGAGTAATGGATACTGCCATGTCTTTGTTCTCTCTCTAGCTGGTTCTGAGGATATGGGGACCACGATCAATGGAGATGTGTTTCAGGTAAGCAAGATTCTATCATAGCAGTGGTAGAGACTGACAGCCTGGGTCTCAGTAACTTATGGCCCCATCATCAGTAGGATTAGGGCTCCAAGTTATTTTATTCACTATGACTGATGCACTGGGGTGGGAACATAAAGGGTTTTGACCTCTTTTCTTTCTTTCTTTTTCTTCTGTCATGTTGAGGAAGGGCACAAAGAATAAGCACCACAATAGCCAGGGATTGATGGTGTGTGACCTCAGGTAGCCCATGGTGATGTCCAGCAGGAAGAGATAAAGTGGCCCACAGTGGCATGGTGCCCACTGGCCCCTGCACGCATGTGTGCCACTGGTGGGAAGCTGAACTGAGTGGCCATCTCTAATGTGTCTGAGCATTTTAAGTGGACAGGTCTTTGATCCAGAGATTCCACTTCTTAGAATATTCCCTAAGGGAGGAATTGGACAAGGACTCCCAGATCTTTGCAGGATTATTATTATTTATTTGAGAGAGAGGGAGAGAGAACAGGGAGAGGAGCAGAGGGAGAAGGACAAGCAGACTACCCCTTGAGCAGGAAGCCCGACGTGGGGCTTGATCCCAGGACCCTGAGATCATGAACTGAGCCAAAGGCAGATGCTCAACGCACTGAGCCATCCAGGCGCCCCTGCAGGATTATAGCAGACTATGTTCAGAGCATAGCATAACATACACAGAAGTTGAATCACTATGTCCTACACCTGCAATTAATGTAACATTGTATGTTAACTCTATTCAAATAAAAATTAAAAAAAAAAAGAACAAACTAGAAAGAATTTAAGTGTCCAGGTCAAGGGCCTGGGTGGGTAGCTAAATTGGAAAACCACGCTCTTCAAAAGAGCAATCAGAGCTTTCTGTATTGACATGAAACGATGCCCACAATATATCAAGTGGAAAAGCCCCTTTGCAGTGTTATATGCACAGTGTAGTCCAGTTTTTTATTTTAGAAATACATTTGCACAAAATATCTGAAAGGATGTGCACTGGCTGTTAACATTGTTAACAGTGCTAACTGGCTGCTGACTGGCTGCTAACTGGCTGTTAGCAGTGGTTAGCCCTGAGCTAGAGGGGTGAGATAAGAAAAAGAAAAGGCTTTTACTTTCACTGGACTGTTTTAAAATTCCTCATAATGTCCTTGTATACCCCTCCCCCCCACAACACCTAGTAAGGATATTTCTAGTTAGACTACTACTTTCTTTACCCACCTACCCTACTCCCCTCCTTTATACACAAATCAGTTTAAGAGTCCTTACACTGGGAGGAGTTGGACCTCAGATGGCATTCCCAGGACCCCACAGATGCAACATTTCCCCTGACCCATGCTTGGGTAGGGTGCAGTCTTCACCAGATGAGGCTTCATTCCCACTGGACTAGTCAAAGAGCTTGACCTCTGGGGCTGCAGCTACAGGATCTCCTGAGCTCTACCCTACTGAGGAGCTGGCCTCCCAAATCCTCAGTGGGGAATAAACAATACTTTCTTATGTAAGAGGGATGGGCTGGTACCTTACACAGGAAACCTAGCCAAGTCTCATTTCTGGAAAATTACTCAACTATCAGCAAGCTAGAAAAGTCGGTCTCTAGGACTTTAGGAGCTTTGTGTCCTCTTGGGCCTGAGAGAACCCAGTAAGCAGCATTTAATTCTGTACAGTCTGGTAAATCATTGAGACCCAGGCTGCCCCTATCCTGGGCACACTCAAAAGGACTTCACCTGACCCAAAAGGTCTGTGTCCTGAAGTGGACCTGGAGCTGGAGGTACACTTAACACTGCAGAAATATCTCGAACACTACGAGCAAGATAATTTCCCCTTTCTATAAGTTAGGGTTTTTGAGGCTTCTCCATCCCTGACTGCCCAGCCTTACTCTCTCTTTGGTGGATACAGGAGACCCCAGGCCTCCTTCCCATCTCAGTGGGAACTTTTATTCTCACTGCTACTAATAGCCTATGCACATTTATTTGTAAATCATTTCACTCCATGTCCTCCTTGAATCCTTACAGGCAGGATAGGGGTCAGGAAGTAGGTAAGTCACTCAGGAAGTTAGAGGCAAAGCTCAGGTTCTCCTAGACCTCCTGCCCTTGATCTGTTGGTGGAACTGGCTGGCCACAATGGCTGGATCTTAGATAGAGAGACCTGCTGACTTTTGTAGAATTGACCATCGACCAGGGTCTGGTTTGTGTTGCAGGAGGAAGGTGGGGGGAAGCCTTGCTTGTACATACCCAGTGGTTTCAAGGGTCCTAGGCAGAGCTTTCTTGCTATGTTTCTTATTCTTTCCTGGCAACCTCTGGCCCACCAGGGGTCTGGCTATAAACCTGGTCCTCAAGGTGTAAGAATAAGTCTGCCCGCACCTATTCCAGTTCCATCTGGCACTGCCAGGGACAGGGATAGAAGGCCCCTGCAGGACTCCCTCCTCCTGCACAAACTCTCTCTCCTCCCACGCACTGCCATCATCCCCCTCTGAGCTACTTAGTGGAATCAGCAGCTCAGCTTAGCTTAGCTTTAGCTGGACAATCCCAAAGACAGATATACCTCATTCTCCTGGCTGTCTCTGGAATCACAGCACATCCTTCGCCAGCCTGACCCCTGGAGGTTCTCACAGTCATGTCCAGCAGAGGGTCCCTCAGGAGAAGGGTGCCAGGGAACTGGACCAACAGAAGCCCGGCTCTGACTGTAGCCTTTTGGTCCTGGTCATTTCTGGCCCCTTTCCTGTTGAGGTGGGGTGGGGGGCTCAGAGCATTCTTTCAGCCCCTGGGGAGCCTGCCTGGCCAGCTGGCCTGTGACCTGATTTCCTCTTTGGGATACTAAGTGATTAAAGAGGAGCTATGCTATGTCCCCCCAACCTCACTGCTCAATGGTAGGGTCAGGGGCAGGAAAATTCGTCCAGAGTGGCCAGAGAAGAGGAGCCAGCAAAGCGCTTCTCAGGACTCAGCATGCTGTCAACACTGCTATGCTCTTCCAGGGCGGGGAAGACCGCTGCACAGGGTCTGCCGGGCGCAAAGGTGAACCACATAGCCCTGCTGGCCCTCACAGGTGCACGTCCTCTGCAGGTTACAGGAGGCCCACAGCAGATATCCCATGCGGGCCCCACTTCACAGTCTGAGTGGGATGTCACCATTCCAATTTAATAGGTGATGAGACACAAGGAGCCCAGGGAAAGTACTTCTCAGAGGTTACACGTCCAGTGAGTGGCAGGAGGGGACTTAAAGCCCAGTCCCTCTGGTGCTGTGTGCCAGGCTGTCCTTGCACCCTCCACATTGTTTTGCAGGCAGTCACTTGTCCCTCTACTTAGTTAACTCATATGCTGTTAGACCACTCATCGTGCTCAGGGCAGTGGATGCAGCAGCAAATATACCAGCTATTGTCCTCAAAGAGCTTGCTTCTGATAGAGGACAGAGACCTGGAAAGAAGTAATGGTGGTGCAGGAAGGTAAGGGCTCAGGTACAGAGGTAGTATCAACAACTAGGAGTCCAAGTTCTTAACAATGTGTCAGGCATCATCCAAGAGCTCTACATGTATTAATTAGTTCATTTCATCCTCCCAACAACCCTATGATGCAGGTTCTGTCATTGTCCCCATTTTACAGATCAAGAGGAGGATGCACAGGGAGGTTTAATAGCTCATTCTCATTACATAGCTGGGAAGAGCTGGGACTTGAACCTGGTTCTGGCTCCAGGTGCTGCACTCAGAGCGCAACAGGGAAGGGATGCTCGAAGTGGGCATGTACATGGTCTTGGCTGATAAAGAAGCATGTGCAAATGTACAGAGGGTAAGGCAGTCTCTGTGGGCCTTGCCTGGAGCCTGGGTCCTGCCACAGACGATGGTGTGCTGAGGGAGCCCAGAGAGGCCAAAGCTACAGGGATGGTGTGATGGGAGGGGAGTGCCCCCACCCCCACCCTGGAGCAGCTCCCAGCTAGAGCCTGTTAGTGGGTGGTGCTGCTGGTATACAAGTGGAGGAGGCAAGTCTAGCTTAGCCAAGCTTCACACCCTGAGCCTCAGGCATAGCTACCTCTGAGCACAATATGCTTGGAATAACACTGAGCTGTACACCTGGGTATGTGGTGCCCGTGGATTTGCAGTGCGGCTGCTCTAGGGGCCTTGAGAAGCACCCATGGGGGTTTAAGTGGCCCTCAAGGCTGCTCCTGCACCCAGGCTGGGGTGCTGTGGTGGGCTGTGGCAGTAGAGTTTGGGTGGGATCAGAAGGCCTGGGCTTCGTTGCTGGCTCTCCCCAACCCAAGAGCTTGGACTACTCTCTTGGCTGCTCTGAGCTGATTTCTCACTTGTCAAAAGGGGATTCGAGGCCCTGCCCTGCTGTCCCCGCAGGGCTGTTGGGAAAAGTGCTCTGCAGCCCAGGGAAGCTTCTAAGTTCCTGGTCATGCTGAGGAGTGAGCTGAGGGGTGGTAGTGTGTGGGTGCAAGAGAGAGATGGGGGATGGGGCAGGGGGCACCTAGAGGAGTAGGCACCGGCTCTAATCTTGGGGAAGTAGACTCACCGGGAAGACAGAGTGCTTCACAAACCACGTGATGCACAAGTGACTTAGGTCCCTGCTGCGTGACTGGTAGGTTCACACCCAGGAAATCAGTTGGAATCTCTGCTCTGCCAGTTCCCGGCTGGGTGACCTTGGGACTCTGGAGCTAGAGTTTCTCTACCTGTAAAACACAGATGATGAAATCCATCGTGTAGGGTTCTAAAGATCAAAGAGAACTATTTAATTGTGATTTCTCTCCAAGTTTTAAAGCCCTATAACCTGGTAATCTTTGTTTAGGGTAGGCCTTATGGAGGTGCTGGGCCTGAAGGACAGCAGTGCAACAAAACTCGTGCCCAAGAGACCCTTCTCCAGCCCACATCCCGCCACCCCTTCTCCCATGCCTGGAAACATTACTTGTACTCAAGAGTTTCCCAAAGGCACTGGCCCTACAGGGACCTTACACTGTCAGTTCTGGTCTAAAATGGCCTTTCCCTGTCTCTTCCCATCCTCCTCTGCCCCCAGACTGGAATGACCGTGTCCTCCCTTGTCCCTGCTCTTTACCTGGCCTGTGTTAGAGCGCGTACCCCAGTCACGGTCCTCGTTTGTGAGGGACTACCCCTGCCAAACTCCCAAGGGACAGGTTGTCTTGTTCATCACTGTTCCCAAGCCTGGGCATATGCTGCTTCATTCAATAAATGTTCTAGAGATCATCCTACAGCCAGGACTTCCCTGTTCTAGATACTACACAGAGACAGGCAGTCTCAGTCCTTATGGGGCTCACTTTCTTGGGGCTGGGGTACAGGGGTGGAGACAGTAAACATGTAAACAAGTCATTTCAGGTAGCCAGCAGTGCCATGAAGAAAATGAAACAACACCTCAATAAACACATATACAGAAGTAACTGCAGTTATCTACACATGGGACATGCTCTAGGATCGGGTAGGTAGGGGCGCCTGGTGGCTTGGCTTCAGAACAGGGTTGTTCCTGGAAGGGGACAGGGTGGGGCACACTCAACATTAGCCATTGGCTTGTGTTCTCCAGATTAGAGCCCTGGAAGGGCCCTTTGGGTGTGGTGAGAGACTCTCTAAATTGAAGTGTAATGCTGTGCCAGAAACTAGAATAAGGCAGTGCTCCACTGGTCCCACCCAAGGGTGGGCCTCACTCCAGGGAGGTGCCGGGCTACACACCCTGCCCTGGGCCTGCCCTTCCCTCTCCCCGCAGACAGCTGGAGACTGCAGCCCTCGTGTTCCCACTGTGTGCCCCTTCACCCTGGCTGCCCACATACCTTTGAGCAAATGTTTACCTAGAACCTCCTCCAACCTGGGTGCATCTGGCTCCTGGGATGTTTATCCACGCAGTCACTGCTTATTGAGCACTGATGGTGCCAATGGCAGTGAGGAGCACCCCTGACACAGGGCAACACCAGACACTGTCTTGTGGGGAGAGGACTTTAAGCACCAATGTTCTTGATTTTTTTTTAAAGATTTTATTTATTTATTTGAGAAAGAGCACAAGTGGCGGGGAGGGGACAGAGGGAGAAGGAAAAGCAAGCTCCCCACTCAGTGAGGAGTCCAGTGTGGGGCTCTATCCCAGGACCCCGGGATCGTGACCTGAGATGAAGGCAGACATCCAACAGACTGAGCCACCCAGGTGCCCCTGTTCCTGACAGTTTTGATGAGTGCTTGAAGGAGGAGCACAGGGAAAGATGAAAGGATGGAGCAGGGGTTGAGAGGCTATAAACAAGGACCTGCTCTGCCCACTGGGAGCTCCTAATCCAGCAGGGAGACACTCATGCAGAAGGTGAAGGCGGTGACAGAGCAGAGAGATGAAGGGGTGTGAAATCTGCCGAGGGGGGTGGATATCCTAGAGCTGGCAACTTTAGAGGGTGGAAGAAGATTTCATCAGCTGGAGAAGGGAGGAGAGGGAAACAATTGCAGCTAAAGTGGGAGGAGCCAGAGGCCGGCAGCAGGAGTGTGTGGGGGTGTGCGCAGACTGGAATGTGTGGGGCTGAGTGGCAGGAGATGGGGTTGGGCTGGAAAGGGTCTCTGGCTTTGCGAGACCAGAGGGGAGTCACATCCTTGCCGGCTGTATTCTCAGCCCCCAGCACTTGGAGTCCCTAGCTATGGCAGGGAGTGCAGGGAAGTGGGCAGGGCCCTGGCCAGGGAGTCTGAGGCTTGGACTCCTGGCACCACATCATGCCATCTCTCCTGGCCTCAATTTCTTCCCCTAGAAGATGAGAATGAATAATAATAATTCTAGCTACCACTCACTGAGCCATCACTCCACACGGGGCCCTCTTCTAGATGTCTTACAAAAACTGTCACGTCAAATCTTCACAAGGCAGAGGTAGTTTTATCATTATTCTCATTTTTGGATGAGAAATCTGAGGCCTAGCAAGGTTGAGCAACTTGCCCCTGCTACACATACATCTAGTAAGCCATGGAGATGGGATCTGAACCCAGACAGTCTGGCTGCAGAGTCCAGGTTCACCACTGTGCGATCTTAGTCGTGGCCGTCCTGCCTGTCTCGGGGCTGCCTGTTCACTCAGCATCTTTACAGAGTATCTTCTGTGTGCCAGGCACTGTGCTGGGCAAAGGGGACACAGTGATGAGCAGGCTGGACAAGGACCCTGCTGTCACAAAGGTGACATTCTGATGGAGAAGGCAGACAGTGGACAAGCAAACATATCATAAAGTGAGGTCATTTCCGACTGTGGAAGTGCTAGCAGTGAATAAGCCTACAAGAGAGACTTTAATAACAGTAACACAGGGACTCAACTGTGTGCCAAGAAGTATTTAAGATTCTTTACATTTTTAAGTTCATTTCATTTCATCCTTCTATCAGTGTTGAGTGGATATTATTATTATTTTAAGATTTAATTAATTTTGGGCAGCCTGGGTGGCTCAGTGGTTTAGCGCCGCCTTCAGGCCACGGTGTGATCCTGGAGACTCAGAATCTAGTCCCGCGTCGGGCTTCCTGCATGGAGCCTGCTTCTCCCTCTGCCTGTGTCTCTGCCTCTCTCTCTCTCTCTCTGTGTCTCTCATGAATAAATAAATACAATCTTTAAAAAAAAGATTTAGTTAATTAGTTTACTTGAGAAAGAGAGACAGCATGAGTAGGTAGAAGGGGCAGAGAGAGGAGAGAATCTCAAGCAGACTTTATGCAGAGTGTGAAGCCCGATGCGGGGCTTAATCCCAGGACCCTGGGATCACAACCTGAGCTGAAACCAAGAGACAGATGCTTAACTGACTGCACCACCCAGGGGCCTCAAGGAGTGGGTACTCTTACTGAGCCTGCTTCCTAATGAGGGAGGTGAGGCACACAGAGGCCATGTCACTCACCCAGGATCTCCCACTGGGGAGAGCCGCTGGCAAAAGGCACAACAACAATAAAGGCAGAGTATAGTCACAGGAGGCAGCAGGTAGGAGGTTGCTGGAGACCCCTGAGGCAGCCACATGTGGGGGGTGTCCAGGTACTCAGGCAGCAGAGGCAACAGGGCAGGTGTGCAGGATGTTCACACCGGTGTGTGTTTGTGCCCTAGGAGGCTAACGGTCCAGCGGATGGCTATGCGGCCATTGCCCAGGCCGACAGACTGACTCAGGAACCTGAGAGCATCCGCAAGTGGAGAGAGGAACAGAGGAAACGGCTGCAGGAGCTGGGTAAGTACAGGGCTGAGGCTGGGAGCAGCTCCCAGCTGCGTTGGCTCTTTGGGACACGTGGGGGTGGGGAAGCCTTAGGGTACAGGACCCCCCACCCCTGTACTGCCTTAATGGCGTATTGGGTGAGGATGGGCCCTGAGGTTGCCTGCTGGGGGCTGATGGGAGGAGTAGCTGGGACAGCTGTGCCCTCACATTCCCACTGGAAAGCTGCCACTTACTCTGCTGTGGGGGTCACAGATGCTGCCTCCAAGGTGACAGAACAGGAGTGGCGGGAAAAAGCCAAGAAGGACCTGGAGGAGTGGAACCAGCGTCAGAGTGAACAAGTTGAGAAGAACAAGATCAATAACCGGTGAGAGGAGCTATGGGGACAGGAAAGGAGTGTGGGGACATGAGGGGAGCTATAGGGACATGAGGGGGCTGTGGGGACATGAGAGGAGGTACAGGAACATGAGGGGGCTATGGGGATATGAGGGGACTTGAGGACAAGAAGCCAGCCATGTGGACAGTGAGAGAAGTTATGAGATGACCATCTTGAGGCTGGATGATTTGGTGGCAAGAACATAAAGGAGAAGCTGAAGCCCTTGGGACTGCTTCCTCAGTTGCTGTGGAGTTCAGAGCCCTTCAGAGGTGGTTCACTGTTGAGCTGTCATCTCACCATGACAGGGAAGCAAGTTCTGCAGTCAGCAGAAGAGGTCTCAGGACCATGGCACGGGAGCCAGACTGCCCAGGGCCCAGCATTAGTGTCACAGAAAGCACAGGCCTGGTAGGGAGTGAAGAACCAACCTGGGTACAGGATTATACTGCTTGTAGAAATGACAATGCTTCACCCCAGAGAGGCTAAAGAGTAAAAGGAAATTAGTGGCCTGTAAAACAGAAAAGGCCAGGGGTGGGACTGCAGTACTAGTCTCAGGGGCTCAGACAAAGTCACCTGCCACTCACTTTTACTGTCTCTCCATGCCACTTTTCTCTCTTGCCCTGGAATGGGGCAGGGTGGGGGGAAAGATGGCCACCATCAGCTCCAGCCTTCTGCTATACTCTTTTGGCAACCTCTATGAACATAACATCTTGCTCCCACAGCTCTAGCTGAAATCCTTGACCTGACCCTTATTGGTTTGGTGTGGGTCCTGTGCCCATCCCGGGTCCAGAGATTGTACCAGGGGAGGGACTCTGTGATGGACCGAGCCTTGGCCATAGTCCCATTCCTTAGGTTGTACACGGAGTCATTCTCACCCAAACCACAGGGACTAAAGTGGGGCCAGCCTGATCCTGTCAAAGACGATCAGGGTGCTCTTCCTGGGAAGAAGGGGGATGGATGCTGGCAGGCAAAGACAGCGATGCCCACCAGAGGGCACTTCTATAGAAATGGTCTCAGACCACTTCTGAGAGTCTGGCCACCATCTCTGCCCTTGAGGCTGTGTCCTTCAGGGTACCTGGCTTGCACGGAAAGGCATGCCAGGCTCTGGGTTGGGCACTGGGGAGACAGAGCAGAGAGGGATGCAGTCTGTATCCTTGAAGAGCTTGGAAAAGAGAAGCACACATGTGCTGGTGAACTCACATTAGGCCTCTCTACAGGCAGGCTGTGGAAGCAAGGGTTGTGGTAGGAGAAGGACCTCTGTGTCTAGGACCTGGGCTTTGAAAGGTGACTGGAAATTCATTAGGGCAGGGTTGGGGAGACCAGGGAACAGCATAATATAAAAGGCTGTTGTGTTTTGGGCCCCAGGAAGTCAGGGAGTGGCAGGAGAGAAGGCAAGAATGAGGGGTCATGTGTGGAGGACCTCTAGTAACCGGGTTGGACAGACAGGGGCGGTGAGGAGCCACAGAAGGTTTGTGAACAGAAGTAGTATGGTCAGGGGAGTTTTAGAAAAGGGACACAAGCCATGGAGGATCCCTGCTCTCCTCTCTGGGTTGTGGTTAGTTGCTGAGACTTACAGGACTGTGCTTCCTAATGCTCTCCAACTAGAGGTACTAATGCTGTCTCCCTTTCTCTTTAACCCTCTGCCTGTCTGTCTTGCCATCTGTCTTCCCCCACCTAACCCTTTCCTCTCAAGGATCGCTGACAAAGCATTCTACCAGCAGCCAGATGCTGATATCATCGGCTATGTGTACGTGTCTCCTTTGCTCCTGTCACGGGGAGTGGGAGAGGACAAGGGCCCCTGTGTATGGCTTGAGTGTCCTGCTTGTCGGGTATAAATGAGTATGGCCAGGCAGGGGCCCAGGGGGGTGGCAGAGCAATGACCAGAGCAGGAGGTGGTGCAGGCACCCACTTTCACTTCTATCCCTGCAGCAAATGTTCATTGAGCATCTATTCTGCCTGAAGACAGCTTTGCTAAATCAGAGCAAAGAAAAAGAATGCACTGGTCATCCCAGGTGGGAGGGGCAAATGGCAAACAGCCTGACTCTGTCCTTTCAAGATGCCTCTTAGGGCTGGGAGGTGGGGTGAAGGAGTCTTCTGTTGAACAAAACTTTGAGTGCCAGAGCCATAAAGAAAATGCTCCCACGAATACCCCAGCCTCTCTCCTGCACTGCTCCTCCTCAAAGCTTCGGCCAGAGTTTGGCAACCAGACCCTGCCTAGACCACCATGGGCCCCTCTCATGTGTTCCTGTTTGGGGGCTCGTCGGGACTGTGACTAATCTAGACCTGAGATGGCAGATGGTGCCCCAGTTGGTTAGTAGTTGACAGGGTTGGGATGGTGAAGAGGAAGGAAAAGCAGTGACGAATGTGTGATGTCTGCCACATGCGTGTGTGCCAAGTATTTGCTGTTCCTCCCTCTGAATTCACCCTCAGCAGGCCTCTGGTGCTGTCTGGGCTAACATTTCTCTCACAGAGCACTGGACCCACCAGAGAAACAACCTTGTGGTCCTTCCTTCTGTCCACTCTCCCATCTGTTCAGTACTTACTGGCACTTGCCCAATGCCAGTCTGTTGGAACAGGAATAAGACAAGGCCTATCTCTACAAGTTGTTCATGGTCAGGAGAGTGTTGTCCTAAAGGCTGTGTGGAAGGACACACTGAGCCCTGGGAGCCACCATCTGCTGAGAGAGCTGGGGCAGGCTTCAGAGGCAGGACCTTCAGTTGGACTCTACAGTGTAAGAAGGGACGAGCTTGGTGCTGAGGGTGAGAAGAAAGCAAGGGCAGCTTCCATGAGTGGTCCATGGGGCCGTGGGGATGGCTGAACACCGAGGACAGGAGGTCGGCTCAGGGCTAGTTGCCAAATGCCTGTTGGGCCTGGTCTTTAAGCTGGGACTTGATCCTGAAAGCAGCGAACATCCATAGGAGGTTTCAAACAGAAGAGTGGGGATGACAGGGGCATCAGTGCTGGGCAATATACCATAGGGGGTTCAGTGCTTGTCACCCTTGAGGAAATAGCACACAGGGCGGTTCTGAAGAGGAGAAGAGTCTAGACCAGTGCTTCTCAGACTTTTCTGTGCCTACGAATCACTGTTCAAAGGAGATTCTGATTTAGGAGAGAACTTAGGTGAGACCATGATTCTGCATTTCCAGTGGGCTCTGTGGTAATATGATGCCAATGCTGCTGGATCACTGAACAGCAAGATTAGAGGACAGTCCCTTGTTGACCTACAGGGGACAGCTCTTAAGACAACACTCCCTCAGCGCCACTGGTCTTCCAACGCCACAGAGCACTTTACTTTTTCCCAAGCCTGAACACATTTGCCCCTTTGTTAGATTCTCAGGTCAGTAAGACAGATCAGCAAGGTGGAGGCTCTGATCCTCACTTTATAGGTTAGGAAATGAGTACACAGGAGGGGAAGGAAGATCACTAGGGAGGGGCCAGGTCACCTGATCCAGGGCAGCTCATCCTTCGCACAGCCTGTGGGGATCACTTGGAGAGCTCCCTCTCTGGCCTGTGACAGAACTGATCCTGCATGAGATACAGAAAGGGCCAGAAGGAGAGAAGGGCTTTTCCAGGGACCCTTGCTGGCCAAATAGGACATAGACCCAGCCCTCTCCACTGAAGATCTTTTATTATCTTTTTCTTGATGAGTCCCACATTGGCATTTGTCCACTACACTGTATTTACTGTACATTGTTTCTCCATTGTTCCTTAACCAGTGGCTTCTAGAACTGCCCACCAGAACTTCTGAACTGATGAAGAAACCTACCAATTTTCAGCCTAACTTGATTTCATCCAAAAGCAAAGACTCCCATGGAATATTCCCCAGGCCGTGGCTCCATGGAGAAAAGTCATTCTGGGTGAAAAAGAGCTCTATAGTCAAATATACTTGGAATGTAGTAGATTCTATCTGCATCTGATACTCCACCTTGGAGGTTCAGGATGCACATTAATTAGCACATTTACAGACTGAAAGTCTTGCTTTGAAGAATCTCTTTAACTGGGTTTTCTTTCTTTCTTCTTTTCTTTTCTTTCTTTTTTAAAGATTTTCTTTATTTATTCATGAGAGAGACACAGAGAGGCACAGACACAGGCAGAGGGAGAATCAGGCTCCACGCAGGGAGCCCGATGTGGGACTCAGTCCTGGGTCTCCAGGATCACACCCTGGGCCGAAGGCAGGCGCCAAACCGCTGAGCCACCCGGGCTGCCCTTAACTGAGTTTTCTTTTTTTTTTTTTTTTAAACTGAGTTTTCTATGTATATTTGACTACAGCTCTTTTCTGGAGAACACTTATAGGGTCCACAGAACACTGAGGCAATGCTGAATCAGGTACTCTAGTTAGTAAGGTGGTTGGTAAATGTACTGCCTCTGCTAAGTTTTTGGGAATGTTTAAAATAGCTGAGGTACTGCATTAGTTCCTCCAAGAGTCTTTAGGTGTTGGGATTCCCAGGTTGGGAACTCTTGCTGGAGAGGTAATAAATAGAATGCTAGGCTGGGAAAGGGGTCGGGGAGGAAGAGGCTACTTTAGTTAGGGTGGCAAGGGAAGACCTTTCTGAGGAGGTGAGGCCTGCACTCAGACCTGAATGAAAAGTGACAAGCCATGAGCTGGTCTGGGGGAAAGTATTCAAGGAAGAGGTGAAAGCAAGTGCAGAGGCCCTGAGGCAGGACCAAAGTAGGCTTCCTCTGATGGCTAGGCTGTTTTCGGGGCCTAGAACTCTGGATAGCCCCCCCCCCCCCCCGCCCCAGAGTGGGCCAGGCAAAGCAGCCTTCCTCAATAGGAGCAGAGCATCACTGATTCAGGGAAAAGGCAGACAGCAATGAAACCTCTTTCCTGTCTCCACCTGCAGGGCATCTGAGGAGGCTTTCGTGAAGGAATCCAAGGAGGAGACCCCCGGCACAGAGTGGGAGAAAGTGGCTCAGCTGTGTGACTTCAACCCCAAGAGCAGCAAGCAGTGCAAAGATGTGTCCCGCCTGCGCTCGGTGCTCATGTCCCTGAAGCAGACGCCACTGTCCCGCTAGGTGCCTGTCACAAGCATGGCCACAAAGCATGGGTTGGGCCTGAGCACAGGAGGAGCAGCTGCTTTGGCCATGGGGGCGTTGGTGGATACAGCACCTCCAGCAGCTGCTACATGCAGCCTACTCTGTTCCTCCCCATCTTCTGGGGCTGGGAAGGGGAACCCTCCCCCTCTCACCTCATTCCCTCCTAGCCCTGTGGCCCAGCCCCTGACACCTCCTCTCAGTCCACAAAATTGTGACTGTCCCTCCTGATGTATTTTTTTTTCTTGGCTTAAAGGGTGTGTTGTTAACTCTTTTTACACTTATTTATTATCATTCTCATTTCTCTGGAAGCCATAACTGGTGTCAGGGCTCAGTTTGTGCTTAGAATTTTCCCAGCTTCATGGCCTTGAGAGAAGGTGAGGTTATCCCCCTAGAAACCTTCCCAGCTGGAAGTGGATGTCTCAAACCTGTGTATGTCTGCTGCCTCCCTCTCCAGGAGGAAAGACAGCCTCTAATGGAATGCTTTTACAACCTTGCTCCTTTCTGATCCTTGAATAAGCCTGTGAGATAGGGATTCCGTTGTTGTCATCTTACAGCCATGGACACCAAGACTCCTGGAGAGCAGGAAGCTTTAAGTGGGAGGGAAGAGGCCAGACCGGAGGTTCTTGGTGGTAGCTCCCTCTGTGCCCAGGTCAGAGGCTGCTAAAGGTAGCTGCTGCCAGACTCCTTCCTTGGCTTTGGCCGATACCCTCTGGATATGGAAGACTCACTGCTCTCCGTCCTACAGCTGTGCCCCTCTGTGGAGCAGGAACAAATTACCAGTAACCACACCTTTCTCCTCCTCAGTAGAAGCTGCAAACAGGCTATGTTTAAGCCACTGAGACCTACACAATGTTTAAAAAGATTTGAGTGATTGCAAACTGTTTTAATTTTCCTAGAGCGGTCATAACAGAGTACCACAGTGTCGGCTTAGAACAGAAATTTATTGTCTCACCATTCTGGGGATCCAAATTCTGAAATCAAGGTGTCAGTAGGACCACATTCCATCTGGAGGCACAAGGAAAGGATCTGTTGTGCAGGTTTCTCTCCCAGCTTCTGGCTGCCCTGGGCATTCTGACTTGAAGGTGCATCACTACAATCCTGAGTTCATCTTCATGTTATCTATTCATGTCTATCTTTGTCCACATTTTCCCTTTATAAGGACACTAGTCAGAATGGATTAAGGCCCACCCTAATGCCCTCATTTTAACTAAATTATCTCTGTAAAGACCCTATTTCCAAATAAGATCCCATTCTGAGATACTGGGTTAGGTCTTCAACGTATCTTTTTTAGGGGAACACAATAAGCCCAATGGCTAAATATAGTTGCCTTCCTCTTTAGAAGTGCCATAGTCCTCACCACTTCCTATGAATTCCTTGAATCTTGAGCCAAGGGTCACCACAATGTACTACTTTACATTTATAATCTCTGCCTTACAGTTGAGGGACCATGATGGGAGCAAGAAACTTAGTGGGCCCTCCCTAGTTATGTACTCCTCCATGTAGAAAGCTAGGCTCTTAGGGGGCCCAAAGAGTGAGTGTGTCTTCTTTACACTTTGCCTTCTGGCAGATTGCAGCTGGTGTTGAAATTGATGGAGTCACACATGGAAGGAACCTGGATCTGACAGACCACACAGTCCAGGAATACTTGTTTGAGACCTGACATGAATGAGAAACTCACAGGTTGCCTCTTGTAGAGTTTGCTCAAGGTCCCCAGCCTTTCTTCCTTAACCCTAAGATGCTAGGTACAAAAAGCAGTGGCAGGTTTTGTGACTATGCTCTTACCACTCCACCAGGCTGCTTCTCTGGGCCTGTTTCCCGTTCTATAAGATGCATCAAGAACCAAGTGGGGATGGTCTACCTCAGCGGAGCCCTTAGATGCTCTCAGGAGGTGGGAGTGAGGTGAGCAGAAGCAAAGTGGAGGGCAGGGCCCCTGGCCCGGAGAGGGCGATGGCCGACCTCATTTGAAGGAAGGTTTTCCTGTTGAAAGTTTAAAAATTGTTGGAAAGATAAGTTGTTGTTGTTGTTTTTAGCGATAGCATCACTCTACGGAATCTCTATTTTTAACAAGTCCCCTGGGGTGATTGATTGTTACCAGGAAAGTTTTGGAATCATTAGGCTCTTAAGATTTCTAAGAGTCTGTCAATTTCCTCTTAAAACCAAAGACCAAAAACCCTGGGGGGCTAGACTGAGAATGAATTCACGAACTACAGGTGGATCAGTTTATTAAGTAGGAAGTGGAGAAAGTGGGGGCACAAATATACTATGCGACACCCAAACTCAACCGAATCTGAGATTCCTGGAAAAACCTGTCAGTTACAGAATTGGCCACTTCCTCCCCCGCTGAAACAGGGGCTTGTCAGGGGAGACCAGGGAATAAGTCAGGTGGCAGGACCGGTGGTTGCTCTTGGGGCTGGGGGTGATCTCTGCGTGACTTTCAAGGCCAGGTGGTCTCGGACTCAGGATCGAGACTTCATCGCAGATGCAGCCAGACCCAGCAAGATGGCTGCGACCGTGAAGCCCTGGGCAGCGATCCGGGTGCGCATCATAAGCTGCGAGCGGTGGCTCTGACCCCGGTGGAAGCAGTAGAGGCCGTAGGTTAGGGCGGCCGCCGTGCCCAGGCAGCCTGAGGAGGGGACAAAGTGGGGAGCTGCACGTTCCGGCCCCGGAGGCCCCTCCCCGCTTCAGGCCTCTTGCTCAGGATCAGAGCTCTGGAGGACAGCCGAGGGAAGAGGGGTGGGTCCGACTGCGAGGGTCCGGTCGAGGTAGGATGCGCCCACTTACACGGCCCGTCTCATCTCGGCCCCCCAGTCCCGCCCTGCTCCCGCTCCCATCAGGTTCACGTCTCACCGCCTGGCCCCTTCGCCACATCTCCGGTCAGCTCGCCCTCCTGCCCCCCTTGGCTTTCCCGGTCCTCTCCTAATTAATTCCCTCAGACATCACTTTCCGTCTACAGTTCCTACAACGCCTGCTTACCTATGGGCACCATTGGGTTCTCGCGGGTCTTCCGAAGGAATTTTTCCTTGAAGCTTTCTGGAGTGCTGTAGATACTGGGGCTAAAGCCCTCAATGACTGGGGGCTGTGATGGTTCAAAGGGTGCCCCCGGAGTCACAGGGCCCGGAGCCGCCATGTCCCGGGCCACAGCTTTGGGAGAAACACCGACGTTAAGCTCCGCCTCCTGGCGAGGTCAAGGAAAGGGGAAAAGGACTTCGCTGAGCTTGTGCGCAGGCGCCAACCGCTCATTGCATTCTGGGAGTCGTGGTCATCAGCCCGAGATCGCGGCAGGGAGGACTACATTTCCGAAAACAGCGTGCCATGCCCTCGCGCGCATCCGCCGGAAGTAGTCTGCCACGCGAGGTGCTGCGAGGGGGAGACGCCTGGTCGCAGTTGCTGGTTCCGTGGTCATTGCAATGCCCAAGGCCAAGGGGAAGACCAGGAGACAAAAATTCGGTTACAATGTTAACCGGAAGCGTCTGAACCGGAATGCTCGACGGAAAGCAGCGCCACGGATCGAGTGGTGAGGGGACCCGGCTTTAGGAGGCGGGGAACCTCGACTGGGACGGCCGGCGAGGTGACGGTTCCCCGATCTCTCTGTCTCTTTGCTTGTAGTTCCCACATCCGACATGCCTGGGACCACGCTAAATCCGTGCGGCAGAACCTGGCCGAAATGGGGTTGGCTATGGACCCCAACAAGGCGGTGCCCCTCCGAAAGAGAAAGGTACTGATACGGCACGGTCCCGGCCCTAGACCCTGTTTCCCACCTGTTTAGCTGGCTTTCAGAACTTCTCCTGTCCATTGTCACCCTCACGCTTTTCTGGGTTTGCGACCTTCCCACAGCCAACTCGGGCAGCCTGCACTGACCGCGGTTGAAGGGCTCTTTACCAACCACCCTCATAGTCCCCAGCGCACATTGGACCTGGGTTGGAGGTCCCCCCGTATCTTCTTCACTCGTTTTTTTCCTCTTCGAAATTAACCTGTTTGGGTTCTTTGGCCTCTCAATGGTATTGCCCAGACTTTATCTTTTTCTGCCCTTAACTTTCCTAATAAAGAACTCCCCAGAGTTTGGGATTTTTACCTACTCTTCCTTACACCTTCCCCCAGTCATCTAGTTATTCTTGGTCTGAGGCTTCCTTAGTTTCTCCCAAATAAGTCTTTCTCTGCACCACACTTTCAAAAATAGCACCCATTTTTACTCAATTTTTTTCCCTCTCTTAATTCATAGCACTTGTAAATATTTGAGTGCCCCTCAATATTTGCTTAGTGTCTGTGCCCCTTTTTGTCAACATAGTCTCCTTAAGGGCAAGCACTTCGTGTTTTGTCCAGTGGTGCTTAGGATGTGACTAGTGCTCAGTAGTTAACCTAATAAATGGACTTGCTGATTGGTTATTTATTTTTAAAGATTGTATTTATTTGAGAGAGAGAGAGAGCAAGCATTGAGCAGGGAAGCGGGACAGAGGGAGAAGCAGACTCCCTGGCTGAGGCAGGGAGCCCGATGCAGGGTTCTGTCCCAGTACCCTGACATCATGACCTGAGCCAAAGGCAGACGCTTAAATCAACTGAGCCACCCAGGCACCCTTGTCGCATTGCTTATAGACAAGCTTTTTCTTTTTTATCCCTTCATGCCAGAGGAAAATGGCACTACTATTTCCTCAGATGTGATGCTGTAACCAAGCTCTGTCAGGTTGCTCCTCTTCATAGAGAAGATATCTGATATCTCCTCGTTGTAAATTATAAAAAGCTTTCATGGCCATTGTTTCACTTGATTAGCAAACATGACGTGAAGTAGGCAAGGAATATTATGCCCATTTTATAGATAGGCATAGAAAGATGAATTGCTTCCTTGAGTTCCTTTTGGAAACCATAAAGCCTCTGGAGCACTGGTTCTCTCTGTCATCTGTTCCTGCCTGAATTTGTGTAGGGATTCTTACAGGTAATGCAGTTGTGTTGGGATGGGCAGGAGGCTCTAGAATTTTCCCTCATCCAGGATCCTTCCTTTGTCTACTGGTCTCACAGGCTCTCTTCCCTGCAGGTGAAGGCCATGGAGGTGGACATAGAGGAGAGGCCTAAGGAGCTTGTGCGGAAGCCCTATGTGCTCAATGGTGGGTGCTGGCCACATTCCTTTAGGTCACCATTCTCCACCGTCAAGGCTAGAAGGGCCTTCAGATGTCTTCATTCTACAGATGGAAGAACCGAGGTTCAGAGGGAAGAAGGGAGCTGGTTCGGGGCTCATAAAGTTGAGACTGTGTCTCTGGGACATTTTCAGTCTACTTACTAAATTCTAGCATGTGAAGGAGGTCACAGATGTTCAGGGAGGATACAGCCAGGTGCCTGAGACGATAGAAAAGAAACCAGTAAGTCTTAGGCATGTGTTCAGCTTGTCATGAATTTAAGGATGAATGGATTTTTACAGAGATTCCACCATCTCATTTAATCTTTTCAGTGGCAAATCAATGTCATGTACATTAATGCTAGAGTGACAATGTTAAAACAGAGCAGAATAAATTCTGCAGGGAAGCAGGAATACTCTGAAATTCTCCATCCATCCTTCCTTTACCTGTCCAAGATGTTTAGCCGTTCTCCTGAAAGTAAAAGGGTTTTAAATTGCCAGACATTTGATAAGAGAATACCTGGAGTTCCTATTGTTAGACTATCAGTGATTCTCATAAGAATTACTACATAGGATTGCATAAATAAAATCAGGTGTACTTACAGATTTTAAAAGTTTTACTTCTCATTCTTTAAAGGATTTTTTTAAATTATGGCAAAAAAAATCACATTAAGTTTATCATCTTAATCATTTTTAATTGTATAGCTCAGTAGTGTTAAGTATGTTTATGTTGTCATGCAGCAGATCCCCAGAACTTTCTCATCTTCAAAACTGAAACTCTACCCATTAAACAAAATCTCCCATTTTGCTGGTAACCAAGTCAAAGATAATTTTTGACTATAAGGGGTTTTGCACTTAACCTCTAGATAACATTTAACCACCTTGTTTCCATGAGCAATTTTTCTCCTAGTTGAGATATGGGGAGCATTCGCTTTGCTATTTAATTAAATTAATTAATTTAAAGATTTTATGTATGTATTCCAGAGAGACAAGGAAAGTGCTCAAGCGAGGGAGAGACTGAGAGTGAGGGGAGAGCAGAGGAAGAGGGACAAGCAGACTCTATGCTTGGCACCCATTCCGAACCAGGGCTCGAGGTCACAACCCATGATACCGTGACCTGAGCCAAAACCAAGTGTCAGATGTCTAACTGACTGAGCCACCCAGGTGTCCCCTGGCTATTTTAAAAGTGAAGCCACAATTAGTTCCACAGCTTGGCTTTTGCCCTCATGTGGAGCAGTGAGGCACCTGGGCCCAGCCGCAGGCCCGGGTTCTTGCAGCATTAGTTCTCATACATACCTTTCCGTTTCTTGTTGTTGTTGTAACACTTTAAGAAAAGAAATTCTCCACGAATTTTAGAGATGGAAGAGTCCCAACCTGTGGTAGGCAGTGTATCTTCATCTCTTTCCCTAGGACCTGGTAGTAAGTAGAGATTATTATTTTGGTGCCTGCCCTTTACCCAGCTGAGACCCAAAGAGAAGTAACTTGCCTTTAGGTAGTTGCCATACTGATAGATGATTATGTCATAGGCAGAGCCTGGGATCGCAGCAGCTGAAGGGCACTGAATTTGGGGATGGAGAGGCAAAGTCCATCTGATGGCCGTGGTTTAGGATGGGGGGTGAAAGGATGACTGGACAACTCAAAAAGTGCAGGAGGCAAAACCTCATTTTCTGTGTCCTGGTTTCTTTCACCCTAGACCTAGAGGCAGAAGCCAGCCTCCCAGAAAAGAAAGGAAACACACTGTCTCGTGACCTTATTGACTATGTGCGCTACATGGTGGAGAATCACGGGGAGGACTACAAGGTGAGTGGTTTGGGCCAGATCCAAAAACTTGGATCTGTTGGGAAGGCATCCTGGACCATATGGGGTCTGATCTGTTTGTCTCTTGCCTGAGACTGAGTGGAAATGAACGAAAGAGAGACTATAGGAAATTTATCTCACTGACAGATGATTATAGCCGGGATAGACTGACTGCCCTGTGATTCATATTCTACTCACAGAGATGTTTTGTTTGCATGGTATTTTTAAAGAACTTGAATGAGGTGCCATTTTAATTATGGGAGTTATTTAAGCTCATGTTTTTGACCTCTTAAAAATTGGAAGATCTGGCTACACTGGATTCTGGTGCCTAAGTGGGATCAGCTGGCCACGGATGGACATTAACTACTCATCTGACCCCAACTCCTGCCTGGTTCTGAAGGGCATTTACACCCTTTTCCCCACATACACCAGGGTTTCTGAGGTGAGGAACCTGCCCAACTCAGGCAGTAGTAGGATCGAACCTTTGCCTGTCCAGCCCCTCCTCAAGTGACCCTTCTCCCTTCTTAGGCTATGGCCCGGGATGAGAAGAATTACTATCAAGATACCCCAAAACAGATTCGGAATAAGATCAACGTCTATAGGCGTTTTTACCCAGCGGAGTGGCAAACCTTCACTGAATCTTTGCAGAAGAATAAGATGGAGGTTGAGTGATTCGCTGATACCTACCCTGGGGCTGAGGTCTCCTCCTGGACCAGAGAAGCTGGAAGCCAGGGTTTAAGGCAAGAAGGGGCATGTGGCTAGATGAGGCTGGTCAAATCCCATGGAATCAAAAGGTTATACACATATGCAAATAGACACACTCACATTCCCTTCTCTGGGGAAGGAACTGCCTCCAAGAGGCTTCTGAGGGCCCCGAAAAAAGCCAGAACCTACTGTTTTCAGTGGGTGGTTTACATACAGTCTGTACATAATAAAACAAGGCTATTTTATTTTTCTGATGGTTATGTGTTCCCCTCATGGCCAAGTGCCAGGACTGCCCCTGTGAAAATCAACTCAGAGTAGAGAGCCCATCTAACATAAAGTGCTGCGTTCCCACACCCTCTTAGGTGTGGCCTCCCTCCTCTTGTCCTGTTTTGATTCCATTGTTCTGCCTTGGTTTCCGTCACAGCATTCACCCTTCTACAGAAGCCTACTGCTAACCCTGGAGTGCTTGGGCAAGGTCTATCTCCCCAACACTATATCTTCAACTATTACAATACCAAATCTCTCTCATTTTTAATGTTTCCCCCTCTAATCTGGTTCTTCCTGCTCTTGAAAAGAATTGGGTGTTTTTACATAGGTCATTTCACATAAAACCTTGTTAAGGTCTGTGGCTTTATTTTACAGGTAAGGAGACTGAGGCTTGATAGGTCAATGTGAGGTTTGAAGTCAGGTTGGTCTAACAGCTAAGCCTGGGCTTTCACTTGCTATCCTCCTTTTCAGTCCCATACTGTCAGGGCAGGCTGGAAACTGACAGGGTCCCAGAAACCCCTCCTATGGGACGTAGCTGGCTTAGCTCCTAACAGTGACTAACCCTTGTGAGCAGTGCACACAGCTTTTGGAATCTAATCTGCAGCTGAGTGTGTTTTTTGTTTCATTCTTTAAATAAGTAGGCTCCACGCCCAATGTGGGGCTTGAATTCATGACCCTGAGATAAAGAGTTATATGCTCTACGGACTGAGCCAGCCAGATTCCCTGTTTGTGAGGGCTTTTATTCAACCTCAGAACACCTCTTACACAGCATTCCGAATTCTGGCCTTTAAAGCTGTCCACTTGTTTCTTTACCCAATTCAGGTGCCAATTTTAGGAAGTCTTTCCTACTTCTGTCACCCATCCTGTTGTCCCTACACCCCAGATTTGCTTAGCAATACATACCAGTCATAACTGCCTTTTCATCTGCTTGATGTCCCCTACCAGACTGGGCTTGAGTGCAGGCACCTTCCTTGGGAATCCAGAGCTGAGCCCAAGGCAGCTGTTGGGGGAATGCTCCATCCTAACTTCTGGCTCCCAGGGATGGGGCAGCCAGATTTGGATACCTCCCAAAAGATTTGGAGTTAGGCCAAAACCCATGTTCCTTACCACCTCACTTCCAGGTGCACTGAAGGGCTAGGGCACTGGGATTTGCTGTTGACAAATGATTGTGTCACTGGAAGTATCCTACGACCATCCTCCTTACCTGCCCCTCACTGGAACTGTAATACTCAAAATCAGAATTCAAATAAAACAATATTTGAGGGGATCCCTGGGTGGCGCAGCGGTTTGGCGCCTACCTTTGGCCCAGGGCGCGATCCTGGAGACCCAGGATCGAATCCCACATTGGGCTCCCGGTGCATGGAGCCTGCTTCTCCCTCTGCCTATGTCTCTGCGCCTCTCTGTCTCTGTGACTATCATAAATAAATAAAAATTAAAAAAAAACAATATTTGAGTTTGGGGCATCGATTTTGTGCCTCAAGTAGCCACTGGCTCTCCTTTATGCAGTTTGTCCTTGGCAACCATGGGCTGTGGGTTCACAGGGCTTGGGCTGGGATAGCAAGGCCTCTTTACATCCAGCTCTTTGCTGGGACTTCTCCCTATGCACCTCATGGGCCCACCTCGCAGAGGCAGCACATGAGAAGTTGGTGGTTCTTTTCATAGCTACTAGGAAGGACTGAGGATGTGAGCCAACAAACATTACAGGAAACTCCTTAGGCTATTCCAGGTCTGAGGCATGGGCAGGTGCACAAGGATGAATATTACAGGTGAGTTTCAGCAGCTAGTTCCAAAGTGCTGCCAGCTGCTATTAAACAAGCAAAAGAATAAAATATTTTCCAAAGACAAGTGGAAATATTTTTTGCAGAATCTAGTGTTTCATTTAGGCAGACAGGCAAAACTCAGATTTTCATCACCTCTCTGTGATGAACTGATTTCACCACCCCACTCCCATCCTTACTGCTGGACACCAATCTGTGCAGGCTTACAGGCAGCAGTTCTGGGCACCTAGAGGTACCAGAGGAGACTCCTTGGGATAAGCAGCCAGTCAAGGTGGTCTTGGGAGCCTTCTTGCTTAGACCATCCACTCAACCAAGCTTTGGGCTCCTCAGAGGGTTGGCAGCAGGTGAGAAAATGGACAATCAGAAGCCACATTGCATTAAGTGATTCTTAATATCAGAAGCCATCAGTGCCAGGGTGAATGATCAGACATTAGTTCAGGAGGCAAGCAGAAGCTTGCCTTTGATGTGGAATGCCTACCTGTGCTCTCATGTCCAGAGCCTTCCTTCCAGTTGCCTTCATTAGAATAGGAGGGGCCAACATTTGACCCCTATCCCACGCTCAGGTAGGTTGGGAGCTATGGTGTTGGGGCAGTGGTGGGGAATAGTGTCACCCAGGCTAGCTCAGAAAGTTTGAGATGAACAATGGCTGGTTCCCAGGAGCAGCTGATCTGGGCTTTTGAATCAAAGGTCACATTCAGGAGCAACTGGGTAAGAGCACCACAGGCCAGGCACATGGGTGTTCACAAGAGCGGCCTCTTCCACCACTTTGTCCAGTCTAGTCCTGGCAGAAACCAGCAGATGAGCACTGCTGGGCACTCTGCCCAGAGGCCAGGCCAGCAGTCCCACTAGAGGGGCACAGCTGTGAGCCACAAATGCAGTGGGGCACACTCCCAGGCCAAGAGAACATGTATATTCTGCACAAGTATCAGAGCGGCGGTACTCTGGACCTTTAGCCCTCCTCAGTGGTATGTATCTTCTGGTGTACCACTGGGACCTTTCCATTCTGGGAGTGGTCTTCAAAGGTTGCTCAAGTAGATAGAGTTAAACTATTCAAGTTCACTCTCACTGGGGACTTTGAAAATTACATTATGATACTTATTAGACCAAAGGCAGATCTTAATTAGAAAAGGGTCCCCTGGGCAGCCCCAGTGGCTCAGCAGTTTAGCGCCGCCTTCAGCCCAGGGCATGATCCTGCAGACCGGGGATCGAATCCCAGGTCGGGCTCCCAGCACAGAGCCTGCTTCTCCCTCTGCCTGTGTCTCTGCCTCTCTCCCTCTTTCTCTGTGTCTCATGAATAAATAAATCTTTAAAAAAAAGGGGGGGGTCTCCTACAACAATGCTGGTTCCAGAGGTAAATGTCAAGCACTGGAAAACAAGGTGGAGCTTATAGCACAAAGAAGTTCCACAGTCTTTTAATGTCAAAATGAAAAGTTGCTGGCAAAGTTTCAAAGGCTACTCTAAAAGTTAAGTCATTTCTTAAATATTTAAAATAAAAGCAGAGAAATCTCTTCTTTCTTCTGCAGAAAGTTAATCAGAATTTCAAAGAACAATGATTATGTTGATATACCACAGCCCAAGAGCACAGCAGGCCACTCTCAACAGCAGTCCCACTGCTGGACTTTGGTAGCTTCCCACACTACTTTCCCTCCCTGTGCCTCCTCTCATGTAGGCCACAGCATGGAACTGAAGCACACTGAGTCAACGTCAAATGTCAAATGAAATGAAGGCACATAATCTTTTGTCTCAAAAAACAAACTGAGTTGGATATCTCCTCTTTAAAAAAAGTCCATTTGTGGCTATTGATTACTCAGTGGTCCCTGGCAGACAAAGTCCTCCTTCCTTTGCGAGAAATGTCAGTATATAGACAAACTGGCTGATCACCAGAAACAGAATCATGGTGTGTGCACTGCAGAGAACAGAAATTCTGTCCAACTTTTAGGTGGGGAGGGAGTCAGCAGGTCCAGGTACCAAAGCCTCAGGTACCGTCGGCTGATCTAATTCCCATTTCTTTTTACCTGGATTTACATGCTTGAAATGTCCTCTCCTGGAGTCACCATCTACATGGAAGGGGGCTGTGTCCTTTTGACACACTAGGTCAAGTGGTGGAGATACAGTTCATGTGGATCAACGTAAAGTATGAGACCGATTACAGTGGGAAAGCTAAAGCTTTGTGCCCACTTACATGTAAAGGTTATCACGTCTCAAAATTCCAGCTATTTCCTCAAAAACAAATTTTCATGACCATTATCTGGGGTTTTGATAACAGCACCTAGAAACAGAACCTAAAACTTTGGTCTGTTTCTCGTATAAATAAATAAATAATTAAAATACAGTTCTGATGCCAACACCCAGCTCCAGTTGACAGTCTTCTCCCCTGGGCCACAGGCTCCTTCCCCAGACTTCTGTAAACGTGGACATTGGCACAGTTAGGGCAAGAGCAGCAGCTTCTGTCTCCAGATTGGGCATGAGTGGGCGGGGAAACCTTTTGTTTTTCTGATTAGGGGTGAATACCACTTGATACTATAGTCTGGCAGGCAGGCCTTGGCTTGCAGAAGCAGGGAGGTTGCAGAACCTGCTAGGTTCTTCAGGTTCATCCTAGCACTTCTTACCTTCATGGCTGAAAAATGTATCTCTAAGTTAGAAAAAACTATGGAGACCACCTCTTTAAGAATGAGGGCCCCACGTGATCCCGGGTTCCTGGGATCGAGTCCCACATCAGGCTCCCTACATGGAGCCTGCTTCTCCCTCTCTGCCTGTGTCTCTGCCTCTCTGTCTCTCATGAATAAATAAAGTCTTAAAAACCAAAAAACAAACAAACAAACAAAACAATGAGGGCCCCAGGGCCAGAGAGGCAAAGATAGCACAAGGCCTTGAGCCAGCTGGTCAGGCTTGGAGCCAAGGCTCATTGTGTACTGCCCAGAACCTGCTGGTATGAGAGGGGCATGAAGTTACTGGCAGTGTACTTCTGACACTATACTCAATCACCAAAACTACAGAGGGGAGAACTGAGCCTGGGGAGCACCTTAATATACTCATCAGAGAAGGAGGGTGCCTTCAGTGGTGAAAGTTGGATCCACTTTCAGCCTGGAGTGAGCCAGACACTAAGCTCTTCTGCTGTCTGCCTCCCTGACCTTCCCAAACTTCAGCCTCATGGCCACCTCACCGGGAAGGCTTCTGTGTGGTTCTTGACCTTGCCCAGGCCCTGCTCTGGAGGGTGGGAAGAGAGAAGTGCTGCCACATGGCTCCCACCTCAGGCCCAAGCTGGTAATAGAGAAGTAGGAGCAGCAGAACTGGGGTCTCCAGGGTTGAGTGGTGAGCAGGTGGGGGCCAGCCTAGGAGAGAAGCTCCAAGAGCAGTCTCCAGATATGCACGGTGCCGGGGTCTTCAAAGCCGGGTCCTGCAGGGGCGATGCTGGCTGCCAAGAGGAAAACCTCTCGCTGGGAATCGATAGCCTGCAGGCCCAGCTCCTGTTGCAGTTCCACCATACTCATGGCCTCACTCAGGTCCTGGGATGAGATGGAGAAGCCAGTTGGAACACAGCTGACAATTTCCCAGCATCCACACTGTCATCTATGAAAAGAACTGTTCTTTGGCTACCCTGGGGAACACTGGGGTCTAAGTTCCCAGAAGTGGCCTCTGGGCCCCTTGGTCTAAATTCTCTTCGTCATCTCTGACTCTGTACCAACCTTCTTTTCATACCACCATCAGCCATTGTAAGAAACAGCACTTCCTATAAGCCAGGCATTGTGAGAGGCACTTGGATTTATTCTCATAATCTACACTTGACTGATGAGGAAACTGGCTTAGGGAGGTGAAGTCATTTAGCTAAGGACAAAGTGGCAAAGCCAGGTTTTAAACTCAGGTTGGTCTGATGACCAAGCCTGGAACCCTTACAGAATCCTAGCTCAGTTTCCTAAATAAACTCAGTAGTGAGGAGATCTTATAGTAGGGTCATTTCCAGACAAGAGCTTCACCTCCCCCAGACTCCTAGATACTAAGGCAAAAAAGAGGCCACTACATATAGAGCATGGCTGATGAGGGTACATTTTAATTTCAACCCTGACCCCAAATTAAAAGAATTCTTGGAGCAATTCATGTGATGCCAGAACCTTAGGTGTTATCTCCTGTAGATTCAAGACTGCTATACATTATAGTTTATAATTAGAATGGCGATATAATCATTCAAACCAGGGTACTTCTAAGACTTAAAGTGAGCACTATTAATAATTATACCAGAACAACAGGCATAAGCGGGGACCATCCCAGGCAGACCAGGACATATGGTCACGTATTTATAAATGACTGTCAAAGATTTTCTGATAGGCAGGGGAAACTGGGGTCAAAAGATGTATAGCTTCTTTCCAAGCCAGGTTAGAAACAAGTGCCACAGCTCTCAGGGACATGTGCAAGGCCATGGGGAAAAATAACAGTGAACTCTCTCCTGTGACAAGGTTTTACCTAGTATGTATTGAGAATGGTGTCTTAGGTCTATGCTGAGAGTTGTTGAGCTAAAGGCCCAGGGGTATAGCGTGGTTAAGAGCAGGATCTTAGAGGAATAGCTGAGTTCAAGTCCTGACTTTGCCACCTACCAGTTTTAATTTTGGGCACTGAGGGATAATATGAGGCCTATCATGGGGATTGTAGGATTTAAGTGAGTTAATGATTGTCAGGTGCTTAGCCTGGTGCACTATAAGCACACTTATAATAAATGTTATTTACTATAGTTATTTCAATCTGCTTAGCTTCTTATCACTTCCCAGCTTTAGCTCTCTGATTTAGAAGATCAGAAGGATGTGGCAAGAGTGGAAAAGGCACAAGTTTTGGAGTCAGACATCCCAGTTCCACTATTTTCAAGGTGTACAACCTTCCGGAGATTATAAAACCTCTCTGAGCTTAAGATTCCCAATCTGTAAAATGGGAATAGTATCCCATGCCTGGTAGGTTCAATTAGAAGCATAATATGAAATGTCATTCAAAACCATACTTGACATATGGTGGATGCTTAATCATTATTTTTCTCATTTCCCCAGGATGATGGATGACAGAGCAAAGAGGAAGGCAGACAGAGGAAGAGATCAGGGATGAGAGAAAAGCACAGGTAGAAGAGCAAGGGACAGTATCTCCGCCAAGTGCTCCAGGTCTCAGGCCTGGGCCTCAGTCGCACTCCTGTGCTCCCTGTCCCTGTCTAGGGATCAGCGGATCCAGCCCCACTGGCCGAAGCCAGCAGCCTATGGCCCTCACCTGCTTGTTGGCCACCACGACGACAGGCAGGTCAGGGTCCTTGTCCAGCAGCTTGTGCAGTTCCTGCCGGGCCCAGGGCAGCCGCAGCCGATCAGCCGAGTCCACCATGAACACCAACACGTCTACTTCATTCACAAACTCCTTCCAGTAGAAGCGCAGGTTCTGGCTGCCACCGACTGAGGAGAGGCCAGGGGCCAGCTGAGCCTCCCTGGGCCCTGGCTCTCTGTATACAGCCCCAGTACCAGCCCACTTCCAGCTTCTCAAGGCTCCATCAGCCCAGGGCAAGGGAGACCACACAGGCTCTGGAGCCAATCCAGGTTATCTCTGGCTCTGGTAGCTGGGCTCCCTGGGCAAGTCACTACCTTCAAGCAGCAGCATTTTCCTCCTCAGTAAACCTACCTACTAACAGGTTCCAGCAAAACCAAAAGATACCATACACAATGCACCTTTCATAGATTAGCATACAAGGTACTCATTAAATTGTACTCTCTGGGAATGCCTGGGGGGCTCAGTGGTTAAGCGTCTGCCTGGGCCGTGATCATGGAGTCATGGGATCAAGTCTCAAATCTCCAGGAGCCCATGCTAGGGCTCCTGGCATGGAGCCTATGTCTCTCTCTCTCTCTGTCTCTCATGAAAAAATAAAAATAAAATCTTTTTAAAAAATTAAAAAGAAAATAAAAAAAAAATTGTACTCTGGTTCTTTTTCCTGGGCTGCTTCCTGCCAAAGCAGAAAAAAAAAGCTTCCTAGCTTTCTCCCAGGACAGTGACGGTGTTGTCAAAGCCAGGACTCCCTGCCCAGCCTGTGCACAGCCATTCTCCATTCAATGTCTCTTGTTCAGTTTGGTCACCCCATTTTCTTTCTTCACAAACAGCATGCTCAGTCTTGCCACCAGTCTTGCCACCCCATGGCCACCCCTGTGGTGCTGCCAACTTGGGTTGCTTTCTTGTTCCTCTCTGCCCCTCTGCACGGCCTCTATTAACCATGCTACATCCTAGTGTTTTTGGATATACTTCTGACACTGGACTCTAAGCCCTTTGAGACAGCTATTTACATCTGGATCCCCCCAAAGCCCTCAGCACAATGCCTGGCACATAGCAGGCACTCAACAAGTATTTACTGAGTGCTTACTAGGTGCCAAGCACTGATCTGGGTGCTGGGGATACAGAGGTGAGCAAGGCAGACAGGGCCCTGCTCTCAAGGAGCTCACTCTGTAACCAAGATAGACACAGCAATAGCACATAAGCACATTTCAGAGAGGAAGGAAATAAGAGAAAAATGAAAATGGCTGGGGGTGGCTTTGGATTGGGTGGTCTGGGAAGGTCTCCCTGAGGAGGCAGCATGTGAGCTGAGTCTGAGATAATGAGAAGGCACCAGCTAAGGGAAGATGCAGAGGAAAGCACTGTAAGCAGAGGGAAGAGCAAGCTCAATGTGTTTGAGAGATCTGCAGAAAGCTACCAGGGTGGCCAAGGCAGCGCGCAAGAGAGGAAGACGCCACAGCCAAAAAGGTTGCTCAGGGCTTGACCACACAGGGGCTGTCAGGCTACAGTGAGGCTGTGAGGGATACCCTTGCAGGTTTTACACAAGAGTGACATGGGTTTCTGAAAGATACTGCTGGCTGACACTGGGGACAGAAGTGAAAGCAGGCAGACCAGCAAAGAGGCTGTTATAGTACTGAGATGATGGTGGCTCAGACCAAGCACTCAGTGGCGGAAGTAGGGAGTAGACAGATGTAGAATCTATTGGAAAATAAAGCTGAAAGAACTAGCTAATAAAATGGATAGGATATAGGAAGTGGTGGGGCAAGGGTGGGGGTGGAGTGGGGGGCAGTCATGAAAGATCCACAAAGGGCTCATTCTTGGCTGGGCTCCAGTCCAGGCACTGTAGACCATTACCAAGTGAGTTGTTGTGGGAAGGGAAAGTTCCAGGACTTGAATGGGAAATCTGGGTTTGAACCCAGGAGTGACCTTATAGAACCTGGATTGCAACCAGTCAGATTCTTGGGTAATATAAAAACACCAAACTTTTCTCCCAAGGCTGGGGATTGTGGGGTACTGTCTGCCAGAGTGGGTGTCAAGTGCAGAATCCCACTTGACCCTTCTGTGTCCCTGGCACAAGAAAGGGATATCCCAATGGGATATTCACCTGGGCCAGATTCCAGGTGAATATCAATATTTGCCACAATCAGGAAGGAAAGATGTAGCCAGACCCTCAGAATCTGATCCCACCACCTAGCACTTAACTAAACTCACCCAGTCTTTATGGTCTGAGCCCTTTGGCTGGCAGGAAGTCCACTTAGCTCTCCCACCAAGTCTGTGGTTGGGACATAGGTCACTAAGTACTGCTGTCCTCTCAAGTACTGCTGTCAAGAGACCCAATCTCTCCTGGAATCCCAAGAAGACTAACACTGAAGACAGGGGCTGCCCAGACCCTCTCTGATCACTCACTCAACAAGCTCTTCCAGTTACCTGCTTGAAGCAGGGCCCCAGGGGCCAGAGCTGGATCAGACTCATCTGTGTCCCAAGTGCTTGCCTAGTCAGGGACATAGGCTGGTAAGAGGCAAATATCAGCTCAGAGGAAGAGCCATTAGACTAACCTGGGAGTCAGAGAAGGCTTCACAGGAATATTGTTTGACCTAAATTTTTTTTTATGACCTAAATTTTTTTTTAAAGAGTCATTATTTTTTTCAGTAGGCTCCACACCCAATGTGGGGCTTGAACTCATGACCCTGAGACCAAGTTGATGCTCTACCGGCTGAGCCACCCATGTGCCCCTCACCTAAATCTTGAAGGAAATGTAGCAGTTTATCAGGGGAAAAAGGGCTTTCCAGGAACACCAGGGTGGCTCAGTGGTTGAGCATCTGCCTTTGGCTCAGGTCATAATCCAAGGGTCCTGGCATCAGGGAGCCTGCTTCTCCCTCTGCCTCTGTCTCTGTGTGTCTCATGAATAAATAAATACAATCTTTAAAAAAAAGAAAAAGGGCTTTCCAGACTGAGGGAACAGTGCAAGCACAGGACAAAAAAAAAAAAAAAAGAAAAAAAAGAAAACAGCAAGTACCCTTCAGAAACAAGCAATGTGTCATGGTGCTTAAAACTGAGAGCCTATAGCCAGAGAGTCTGCATTAGCAGACTGACAAGCTAGGTGAGCCAGGATAAATTATTTAACTTGCTGGGCTTCCCTTTCCTCATGTATGTAACAAGGGTAACAACTGTTTCCAGTTTTTTGGGAGTTGTTGGGAGAATTTTATTAAGTGCCTGTCAAGTGCTTGGCATACAGGAAACTGTGGCTTTTGGCATCTCAGTGTTAGGCATAGGAGCTTCAGTTGGGGTGAGGGACAGTCAGTGACCAAGTTGGAACTACCTGATCATGAATGGCCCATCATGCCAAAATACAGAGCTTGAACTGTATCCTGTGCCCAGAGAGGCAGGGGAAGAATGTCATACAGGGTCGTGTCCTGCTTAGATATACGTGCTGGAGCCACCCCCAGGCAAAAATCCCCGGCTTGGGTCCAACTGAGGTGACGGGGAGAAGGTATGTGTGTGTGGGGGTCTGCTCACTCTCTAGCAGGTCCACCTCGAAGTCTTTGGTGGGCAGCCGCGCAGAGTTGAAGCCCCAGGTGGGGATGTGGCCTTCCAGCGGCGGCTTTCCGGACAGCACGCGCAGGAACGTGCTCTTCCCCGAGCCATCCAGCCCCAGCACCAGCACCTCGCGCTGCTCCAGCTCCTCCAGCGCCGGCTCTTCCTCCTCCTCGTCTTCAGGCTGCAGGGCACAGGTCAGGTTGCGGCCGGCACCCTCCCTCCGAACTCTTCCCTAGGGAAGATCGAAGACACCAAAGCGCCCCTCCCCGTCCTCCACCCGTCAACCGGCAGGCAAGCAAGGTCTGGTGCAGTGAGACCGGTGCTGCCTTTGGAGTCCTGAATCCCAAACCCGGTTCTTCTGGCTTTCCTGAGTGACCTCGGAGAAATTCCTTTCATTCGCGATGCCTCAGCCTCCTCGGCCTGACAATCCCCACGTCCAGGGTCGCGGGAACCACGGAGGAAACCAGCCCTGGGGCCAGAGAAGGGGGCGGCGGCCTCTCCCGGCAGGCCCGAGGCGCGGGGGCGCGCACTGCGCAGGCGCCGGGAGAGCGCGGGCTGGCCCGGGCGCGGGCTCGACACCGCTTCGGGACCGCGCCCTGCGAGCTCGGCCGCTCGCGATGAAGCCCAAGGCTCGCGGCCGCGCAGGGCGGTGCCTCACACCCCCTGAAAGGCCCACCCAACCCCCGGTTCTGGGACTCACGGATGCCCCGCTGCCAGCCGCGCGCCCTTTCGCAAGGGGCCTGCGGGCTGCGGCGCCAAGTCCCCGATCCTGGCGCTTCTGCCCTCGCGGGGCGCCACACCCCCGGCTGCACGTGCGGAGGCCCAGACCCCGGCCCGGCACTCACGTCCCACTCGTCCCACTCAGGGAGGCGGGCGGGCTCCGCGCCCCACCAGGCCTCGCCCCGGTCCCAGCGCCGCTCCCGTCCGCGCCCGAAGTAGGCCTTCCAGAGGATGAAGAGTACTGAGCCCAGCACGGCCGCGGCGCCGCCCAGCGCCAGCACCAAGGGGCTCAGCGGCCGCGGAGCCATTGGGCCGGGGGAGGGCCACGGGTGCGGGCTGCACAGGCCGAACCCGCGGGCCCGCGAAAAATGGCCCCGCTGCGACTGCGGCGTCCGCGCCCACCCACCCGCCGCCGGCCCCGCACTACAAGCCCCACAATGCACCGCTGCTGTCGCGACAGGCGGCCCGCGGCCGGGCGGCGGCACTGGGCCGCCCACTGGAGCACGGGGGCTTCCCGCTCCGGCTGCTAGGTTCGGCTGCGGAGCTAGGGGCTGTGCCTGGGCAGGACGGGAGATGGTGATAAAACTGACACCCCCCGAGCACTTCTGTATGTCCAGTGGTCAGCTGACCGATGTTCTTGTTCACTTCGTAAAACAGTGCTTTTTAGAAGGGAAAGTCAGATCTCTCTTGTTTCAGGAAGCAGTCCTCCCTTACTTGTCACTACCTCTCTCTCCTTTTCATTGCAGCCCTTCTGGATAATGTGTGTTTCCTATTCTTCACCCAACCCACCCATGGAAACTGCTCTCATCTGGGTCTCTGACAGATGCTTCCTTGTTACATTGGTTGTTAACATCTTAGTTCTCATTTTGCTTGACCTCCTTGTACCATTTCACATTGTTAAATGAAGACTTAGCAGAGATGCCGTTCAAAACCTGGTCAGGATGCCCCCTCATCCCTTGGGGGATCACCTCCTTGGCGGGACAGGAACGCAAGGTTCCCAAAGAGAAAATTAGCACCAATGAGTTTATCCAGAGCTTTGCAGTCAGAAAATTAAAAAAAAAAAAGAAAAGAAAAAAATTTTTTATGGGATTTGTTCTTGGCATTCACGTAAGTTTTATGTCATTTCAAAAGAGAGCACTTAATCCCTTGAGAACTAAAGGCTTCTCAAGGTCCAATTAGGTCTTGCCTTACCTTTCCTGCCTCCTGACACACAGTGGGTGATCATCCTCTTGTCTCTCAGCTGGAGTTCAGTCATCCTGTGTGGTCACAGTGTCTGCCTGAAACTATCTTTCTGTCATTCTACTTGAGGATGTTGACCAGGCCTTTGCCATCTTAGGGTCTGATGTGCTCAGTGTAAGACTGAGGCCCAGAGTTCACACTTAAGAAATATTTGGAGAATTGAATCAATTGTACATGCTCCTCTCTTGGCTTCCTTGACACATTCTTTTCTTGATCTTCACCCGCCTCTCTATCCAAACCTTTTCAGTCTCTTGCCTGGCATTGGCTGCCATTGACTGAAACTAACTGGACCATTTGGGGAGGAAACTTTGGAAATGGAATTCTCAGGGGTTGGCCCCCATACAAAGCAGACCATGTGAAGGGTGAGGGATGGAGCCATGAGTAAACTAAACTGGCATATGACTGGCACAGTCCACCCCTCTGCATCCAGTTTTACTTTTATATCCTCTTTTACCTTTGTGCTTCCACCATGATGCAATAACCATCGTAAAAAGAGTCACTCTTTACCTTCTGAGAAAAGAGAAGACAAAGTCCTATCAGTCAATATATCCATCTCTGGATGATGTTAGTTCCTCTTCAGTCATAACCCCATCTGGATATTCTTCAATTAAAGATTAAATTCTAAAGATAACCACTGCAAACTTACACAGTATAACTTCCATATTGCTGCACAGCAGTCTTTACAAAAGAAAAGCTGGCAACGTCATTTTTCAGCTTAAAATTCTTCAGTGGTTTCCCATCTCTATTAGGATAAATACTATGTGTCTCTGATGATGGAGCAAGAAGGGCAGCAGGGAACTGACATTTAATGATCATCTACTATATATCAGGCTTTGTTCTGGTGTAAAGTGTACTGCTATGCAAACATTTGTTTGTCTTCATCTCCTGGGAATTGTTTTCCTAATGACTAAATTAACTGGAAACCTGCCATGTTTATATGACACTTGGCATGAATAATTAGTCCAAGGATAATGACTTGGATCAAGCTGGATCTACAGGATGCAGCTGCAAACAAGATAGCATCCAATGAGGGGACCCACTTTACAATGAGAGGTGCAGGAGTAGCTTCCAGACCAAGGGGTCCACTGGTTATATCATGCACCATACTATCCAGAAGTAGCCAGCTCAGACTACACTGGCTTAACCTTCTACTTTTCAGTTATTTATACCTTTGTCATACCTTTTAGGAAATTTTCTAAACCTAATCTTCATACTTGCATATTTGGTCCTTGGCTATATCTACTCTGCTATTCACCACAGCCTTTGAAGGCTTTATTTCATCTACATTTTTCTTTAAAAAAAAGATTTTATTTATTTATTCATGAGAGGCACAGAGAGAAAGGCAGAGACACAGGCAGAAGGAGATGCAGGCTCCATGCAGGGAGCCCAGTGTGGAGCTGGATCCCAGGATTACAGGATCATGCCCTGAGCCAAAGGCAGACGCTCAATCGCTGAACCACCCAATCGCATCCCTTGTCTACATTTTTCATATCTGGTCCTGTAGTTGGTTCTTTACGATTTCCTATTTCTCCCTTCATATTTCCAAAATCCTCTTTTCTTTTTTAGAATAATATTCAAAATGCTTATTTTCATTTGTTGTCCTGCCAAGTCCATTAACTCTGGTGTGCCTGGATAAGGTAGTCTTGAATGTTGTCTTTTCTCTTGTTGGGTGTGTGCCTCTCAGGCATCGCTTATCTGCTCCTGTGAGCTCCTCTTTCCTTGGGGCCAGGGCTAGTGCCTGGGGGAGGTGGCATAGCCCAAGTGTAGCTTGAACTATTCCTGGTAAGTTAGGAAGGAGACTCTCTGGTGTCTACACAGTCTACACCTCAAGTTGGTACTGTTCTGTGCAGACAACTGTATCTCTGGAGAACCTTTTTGTACCTTCCTGGACCCAGGTAAGATTCTTACTAGAAGTTGCCATCACCCGCTCCCTGCCTCCCAGTTGCTATAACTTAGCACTTAGGGTACGGGGAGAGGGAAGAGGAGTGGTGGAAGAGAGGCTGCTGAGGTGCAGGCCACTTCACTGCACTGTAATTTGTTACTGACTCCCCCCACCCAGCCAGCACCTTCTCAGCTTATGATAATAATGGTGATAGGAGTGGACAAGGTCTGCCCAGGGCAAGGTGGGGAAAAAGAAAGGGTACATTTGTCTGAAAACCGACAGGGCCTGATTCCCTTCTTGGAGCTCTGTCTTCTTCTGCTCTGGGTTGCCACTGTCTGTATTCAAGCCAGCCCATTTCTGATGGCCATAGGGCTGGCCTCTCCCATCTGCCAGCTTCCCTCTGACTCTCAGATATCTCTCAATCTGTGGCTGGTTTGTGTTGTCTGCCATCTGGTCAGCTTATCTCCATCTCATAAAAGAGAAAATAAACTTGAGAGAGGAAGTGGTTTCTCTAAGATCATATAGTGAATAAATGAAGCAGCTATGATTTGAACCAGATCTGTGTGTCTTGAAAACTATGCTTTCAATATTTTGGATCTCCCTGTACAGATCCTGGAATCTAGGTACACTCATTCAATCAAACTTTTCTTCCGAACAAGAAGGGAAGCTCAAGGGATTGGCTTCGAAGTCCCTCACATGTGTCCTCAGTTGGATTTTAGGATATTTCATTTTCACAGATATAGACAAGCTCTTGAGTTCTACATCATTTTAATTAATCGGTTCTTAATGCTTTTAAATTTAAAAATTATTAAATATGTAAAATAAACCTGTTCAGATATCCAAGTATTGACCAAAACTTGAAGAATTAGCATTTTGCCATGTTCCTTTTTATTAAAAAAAATTTGAAGTATAACTAAGGTGCTATTCCTTTTTTTTTTAAAGATTTTATTTATTCATTCATGAGAGAGAGAGAAAGAGAGAGTCAGAGACAGATGGAGAAGCAGGCTCCATGCAAGGAGCCTGATGTGGGACTCGATCCTGGGTCTCCAGGATCATGCCCTGGGCGGAAGGCAGGCGCTAAACCGCTGAGGCACCCAGGGATCCCTAAGGTGCTATTCCTATCTCCAGAGATAACCATTATCCTCAAGTTGATGTGTATCATTCCCATTTATGTTTTTATACTTTCATTACATACATATCAAAACTTTTTTTTTGTTTAATAATTTACATAAATGGTAGTGTGGCACCTCCTGATCAGATGGGGACTGGCATGGGCAGTGAAAGGATACACCTGAGGCAGGACAAAAGAGATAAAAGTTTATTGATACACTGCAAGGGAGCAGCAGGCAGGACAGCAAAGGAGAGACTGTCTGCTATGAGGTGGTTGAAAGGGGCTATTGTTATAGGGTAGAGTGAGGAAGTAAGGGACTGTATGGAATTTTCCCTTTTTTGGTAATCTTTGGAACTGTGCCTGGTTGTAATTGGTCAGCTAGGTCCTATGGCTAATTCAAGGTGGGTCGCTTGATGAGCCTGTTTGCATCAGCTCTGTGGTCACTTTGGCCCTCTTGCCTTTTCAAGTTCCCATTGCTCAAGCCTGTTGCCTAAAAGTGGCCTCTATGGGGATGCCTGGTGGCTTAGTCAATTGAGCATTTGACTCTTGATTTTGGTTCAGGTCATGATCTCAGGGTCATGGGATTGGCCCCATGTGGGACTCCTTGCTCACTGTGGAGTCCACTTGGGATTCTCTCCCTCTCTGTCTGCCCCTCACCCAGCTCACCCAAGCACATGTGCACCTGTGCTCTCTCCCTCAAAATAAAGAAATAAAATCTTAAAAAAAAAGGTAATGTACTATTGTTATCTTTTTTAATCCAACATGATGTTTTTGAGATCAACCATGTTGATACATAGAGATCTAGTTCATTCATTACAAATGTTGTGTAGTATTTCCTTGTGTGAATATATCACTATTTTTTTCCTTCTGTTGTTGAAATGGTTGGGTTGATCCCATTTTTGCTATCACAGTGATGCGATTTTTGCGCTCACAGTGATGTGTGTTAGAGGCATCCCCTTGAGCACCTTTGTGAAAACTTTTCTAAAGTATCCTGAGGAATAGAATTGCTGAACTGTTCTTTTTGTGCATTCTCAAAGTCAATATTGCCAATTTGCTCTCCAAAATGGTTATCCTAATTTATAATCCATAATATGAAAACATATTCAGTCTCTATTTCCCCATAACCTTGCCAACATATAGTATTATCAAATTTAAAACT